ATTCAAAGAGATCACCAAGAAATTAAAAACTATGGAAAGATGGCAAATCAGCTGAAAGAAACTAAGGATAGATTATCCAAACTGGAGGACAATTTTGCAATGTGGGAGTATGAAAGAGAAAACTATTTAAAAATAACAAGGAAAAAGCAGTAACAATACAAAGGCTAGAAGACAACGAAAGGATTTATAACTTGAGAATAAAGAGTGTGAGTAAAGAAGCTGGGGTACAAACAAAGGAACTACAAAGATTATTCACAGAAATAATTAAAGAAAACTTCCCAAACATAGGAAAAGGAAATGATATTCTGATATATGAAGCATACAGAACTCCAGCCACCTACAACCAAAACAGAGCTACACCCAGGCATATAATAATCAAGATCCCAGAAATTCAATATAAGAACAGAATATTAAAAGAGACACTAAAAAAGTTAGAAACAAGAAACAGATCACCTACAGAGGAAGGCCCATCAGAATAACGGCAGATTTTTCGACACAAACCATCAAGTCAAGAAGAGCCTGGAGTGAAATGTTCCAAGCCCTGAAAGAAAATAACCTCCATCCCAGACTGATATATCCTGATAAACTGTCTCTAGAAATTAATGGAGAAACAAGATGCTTCCAAGACAAAGAGGAACTTGGGAAATTTGCAACCACCAATCCAACTCTACAGAAAATACTCCAGGGAATTCTAGAGAGAGAGAAAAGTACTAGGACTCCAGGAACAGTGGCAGAGAGGCCTCAATGAATGGAGCAGAAAACAAAATGAAGAAGATAAGCAGACAACTGATGGCAAAAAAAGAGCACAACAGAAATGAGGCAGAGAAGATTTTATTCAAAACTGATATGATTGATAGTATCAAGTCTGAGAGTATAGGCAACTACACTGAAGATGACAAGACTCAACGATACACATTCTGGTTTAATAACTGCTGGTTTCTGAAGTTCTACACTATATACAAAGTTGTGTTTTTATTAATAATGTTATGTACTGACATATTCAATTATACTATGTTTGGTGATAAAGTCAATTCTATTGGAGATAACAAGAGACAACACAGGAACCATGGTAGAATTCTTTGTACAACGGCCTTATATGTTTATTTTGTTTCATATGTTTATAGGAATATATTTTGTTTTGCCTTGCTTTGTTTTGTTTCTCCAATATAGAAAAGATAGAAATACATGTTAAGACTCATGTATGTGTAGAATCTATAAACAGTTTATGAGAACTGATCATATGACACATGATGAAATGAACAGATACTTTGAAGAAAAAAAGACACCAAAATACTCAGTGCTGATCCTGGAGGGTCATAATGTGAAACCCAGCAATAGTATTATTCTTTGTTCAGAGTGATATTAGCCTGCTTGGATTTATTCAATCTCAACATAATTGAAGATATGGATAACTGCATGTATGTTTAAGTGTATAGCATTGATAACCATATTTCTAAGTTTTTGTTGGATAGTTGAACAGAACTCGTTGCAGTCTCACTGATTGAATCCCCACTTTATAAGCTCCACTTTGGTATCTTAAATAACTATTTGTAAGAAGACCATCTGTAATCATCAACTAGTGATTTCTTACTGTTTATTTTTTCTTTGAAATTATGTATTATTTCTACTCATTTTCTGTTTTGTTTAGTCTTTCTTTAAACTAAATTTTAAAAAAAGGCACTACAGTACCCAGTGCTGATCATGGAATGTCATGATGTGAAATCCAGCAATACTATTATTCTTTGTTCAGAATGATTTTAACCTGCAGAATGATCTAAACATAAATGAAGATATGGATAACTGCATGTATGTTTCAGTGTATAGGATTCACAACCATGTTACTAAGTTTTTGTTGGACAGTTGAACAGAACTGTTTGCAGTCTCGCTGTTTGAATTCCCACTTTACATGTTCCATTTTTGTCTTCTTTTTATCAGTACCGGGTATTGAACTCATGACTGCCTGCTTGCAAGGCAGGTGCTTATGCTGCTGAGCTAAATCCCCAGCCCCAATGTTCCATTTATGTATCTTGAACAACTATTTGTAAAACGAAATATGTAAACATCAACTAGTGATTTCTTACTGTGTTTTTTTCTCTGAACGTATGTATTATTTCTACCTGTTTTCTGTTTTGTTTAGTCTTTCTTTAAATAAAAATTTTTTTTAAAAAGGAGGAACAGGTCACAACAGTAGAAGACAGCAAAAGCAACAAGATCAAAAGGAGGAAGGAACAAACCTCTTTTCCTCCCTTACATTGTAAGTAGGTTTTCCACCCTGGGGCAGGTGTAGCACTAACAGCATCTCCATGTCCTCCTGTGTGGGATGAGGACCCTGGATCCCTGCTGAGTTGCTTAGTTAAACTTCAAAACTTCTCAATTTCACACAAGCCTGAACTGTGTGGTGAGATCCTGTCTCAAAGAGACAAAAAAAAATTCAGATTGGAAAGTGACTTAAAAAGTGTGGTCAGCTAGAGACAGGGAATGTAGCTCAGTGATAAAGCAATTGCCAAGTGTAGGCGAGGTCCTTGATTCAGGGGGCCATTACCACAAAAGACCAAACATATCCAGTGTACAAGCACTCACTTCATATTGAACAGCACAGACAGGTTAAGAATAAAACAGTAAATTATGCAAACTCTAATAAAAGAAAGCAGGTAGGGCTATATGAATCTCATATAAATCAGAGTTCAGGACCCTGTTTTATATGGTAAAATTATCATAAATGAAGAGAGAAACTAGGAGGAAAAGTCAATCTACCAAGAAGACATAGCAATCTTAAATATATATGCACCAAACAGCAAATTAAAAATACAGTAATTCCCCAACTTATTATGACTTCCATTTGTCTGTAAATCGAATTCATTTGTAAGCTGAGTGAGTTGTCTTGGTTATTTTTCTCTCATTGCTAGGACAAAATACCTGACACCCAAAGTTAAGGAAGGAAAGGTTTATTTAGCTCACTTTTTGTGGAGGTTTCTGTCCATAATCAGCTGGCTCCAAATCAGGATAGCATGGCACAGGGGCAACACTTCTAAGGTGGCTGAAGACAGCAAAAGCAAGAGCAAAAAGAGAGGGGGAAGAGCAAGCCTCTTTTCCTCCTTTACACTGTATGCAGGAGACCCATCCTCCAGTGGGCGTTGCATTAAACCATCTCCATGCCCTCCTCTTGTACAGCATGAGGATGTTTACAAAGTGAGGACCCTGGCCCCCTGCTAGTCTCTTAAACTTTCAAGTTGACACAATGTATCAGCCTTTACATGAGTCTTATACCGCACACCTGTGAAAGGTCACAACTTGAGTGTAAGTCAGGGACTTCCTGTTTATGTCCAGCAAAAACTGAGAGATTTGAAAGAAGAGATCAACTAGATGCCGACATCAATATCCCTCTTTCAACCACTAACAGAACATAAAGGCAGAAAAACAAGAAAGATCATTTAAAAATCCCTTTATGTATAATACAATGAATAAATGAGATCTAATAGACATACACAAAACACTCACCATAGTATTCGTACTACTTCAGCCCTAAAACAAAACTCAACCACATTAAAGTAAAATCCTACAAACATGGAATCAAACTAGAAATATAATAGAAAAGTATTGAAAAATATCCAAATGCTTGGAAACTAAATAACACTTGTAAATAATCTATGAGAAAAAAGAAGTCTTATGGGAAACCCAAAGAGAAAATGATCCTCTCTTTCTACTCCTCCCCTAAGCCTGTCAGGGGGCTGCCTCCAGCTATCTCGGAGCGAAGTGTTCACACGTATGTGTACACACAGTCCTTGCACATGCAGTGACAGAGTCATCATGAGACCACACACTGGGGAGTAGAGTCCCTGAAGGTGCACACACCTACAGGCCTGTAACCCAAGGACCTCATGGGCAGTTCCAGGAAAGACACAACAAAGTCTAGTACCCCATGGAAGGAGTAGCCAGCTCCTCTCTAGATGGAGAAGCACCCAACAAGGGACGTATTCCATGTTTATGGTGGTGCAAAGGGAAATCATTAATTATTCATGAGCTTTTCCCAAAAGAGGCAAGGGTGTCTGGACAGAGTGGAAGTTAGTTACTGTGCAAGTGTGAGTTTGCATGGGATCCAAAATGTGCTTAAAACCGTGCTACGTGCACACTCTAGGCGGAAACCGAATCAGGGAAATGCATTATCATGAGGGTGTGGTAAGTTTAGGATCAGTTCCTGGTCAGATCTTTTGCTGACCTTGGTTGTGGCCATCTCATCCAGCTTGCCCAAGCACTCCACATCCCCACAAAGATGATAACGGCTTTGTCTCTTCACTCACATTGTGACTTACCTTCCCCTTTCCAGGAAAGTTGCAACTGCTTGCTTTCTCTGAGGCTGCTACCCTTACCACCCTTTCACAAAACTAGAGGTTAATGTTTTGAGGAAATGTACTTTAAGAAGTCAAAATTCATTCAAGGTTTAAAGAAGAAAAGTTAAATTTTTTCTACATTAACATGAAAATAAGTCACTTGGGAAGCAGTTACTGCCTTCAAGAATCTCTCCTATTAATGTCTTTAATTTCAAAAATGGTACTATATAAAACCTAGCAGTGGGCTGAGGATTTAGCTCAGCAGCATAAGGGTCTGCCTGGCAAGCATGAGGTCGTGAGTTTGAACCCTGGTACCAAAAAAAAAACCCAAAAAAAACTAGTATTATAAACTCAAAAATTATTCTAAATTGAATTAAAATTAAAACCATGCTGATTTTTTTTTGCCTTACAATAGAAGACTTATAATGCATTGATTACAGGACTGTCCATCAGCTCCTCCTTTGCTTGTTTGAGATAAGGGGGTTTTGCTGTATTGCCCAGTTTAACCTTGAACTTTTGGCTCAAGTCATCCTTCTGACTCAGCTTTCTGAACAACTGGGACTACAGGCAAATGCCAAAGTGCCTGGCTCCATCAGAACTTTGAAGTTTACAGGTAAAACTACTGTGAAAACAATCCCTTATACAAAAATGAAGGACATTTTTAGCAGCGTGTATTAGTTAATTAAAAACTTTACTGATATGCAATTCACATAACAAAAATTTATCCCTTCACATGATACAATATAAAATTATATAATTTGGTTGGTTTTTAGTACACTTATATCATCATCACCACAATAATTTTACAAACCCAAAATAAACTTTGTACCCAGTAGCCACTGCTTCCCTTTCCTTACCCTATAAAATTTTGGCTTCTTCAGCCACCAGATTACTCTCTGGCTCTGTAGATTTACTTATTCTGGACATTGTATTCAGATGGTCATACGTCTTTTGTGATTGGCTACTTCCACTTAGCATAATGTTTTCAAAGTTCATCATATTGTGACACGTATCAGTGCTTTGTCCTCTTTTTGTGGCTGAATAATAGTCCACTGTATGGATATACTGCATTTAGTTTACCACTCATCAGTTGATGGATATTTGATTGATTCCAGTTTGGGGCTATTATGAAGAACTCTGTTATCAACATTTCTACACATGCTTTTCTGTTGATTAAGCCCTTAATTGTTAACTATATAGGGCAAAAAGTCAAACAGAGGAACTCTTTTTTTTTTTTTTATTTCAGGGATCAAACTCATGACCTTGTGCTTGCCAGGCATATGCTTATGCCACTGAGCTAAATCCTTGGCAAACAGAAGAATTCTTATAGTTACAATGAAAGTATAAAATTTTGTTTTGGAATAATTTTAGATGTTTCAAGATTTAACTGTTTCCACAGACAATATCAGGAAGGCTTATCCTGCCAGTGAAAATGGCGTCATCACACTATCACAAATCAAGGAATCTCTGAAGATTGTGCCTTCCCTATAATCCCTTCTTACACTGGGTCAACAACTTACTGTCTCTGTCTCACTTTGAATAGAAAAGTAAAGACTGGGTGGCAGGGGTTGTCTGTCTGTCTGTCTTACGGAAATTATCAAAAATCACTAAGCCCTCTCTAAGCATCAAGAATGACTACTTACATGAGATTGGACCTTGCATAGATACAGGCTGAGCATGACATACCCAGGTGCTCTCCAGTTCCCCATTCTGGCCAGACATTCTTGACTCTGTTGGCAATTCCTGCATGTGTCTTGCCTCTGTCAAGTTACTACCTCTACCTGTCTGTAGGCAGCTTTGTCTACCTACACACAGAGGTTGCCACTGCCGACTCTGCCCTGCCAACCTTCTCCACGAGAATCCAATGCAGGTTCCCATGTTGGTTTAATGCCCCACTGGACTGTAGGTCTGCTAGGTGCTCTCTGATGGTCAGAGATGTTCAGGAGAGACTCAGTGAATGTGTGTGATCCATACTGCGTATGGGACGCTAAGGGGCCAAAATGAGTTTATGACTTAATTGACAAAATTAGTTTATGACTTAAATATATTTAACAGATGCATGTCATTTATAAATTGATGACATATTTCTCCAACGATCAAAGCACTTGGGAACCTTAACATATTCATCAGATAGCATGGCATTGTGTTAACACAAGTTCATTCACTGAATTTAATAATAGGGACAGACTCAGAAGTATAGGAAGCACATTCTAAAGATTGCAATTTAGGATTGAATTTCACGGTTTTTGTTTTCTTTTTTTTTTCTGACTCCAGTATGTGAGCCCAACTGAGAAGGCTGAATCACAATTTACTGCTGGGTAGCCCTGCCAGGCTCTGCCATTCTTTCAGAGGAGGGTTTCCCTGGGAAGCCAGCTTTTTTAGATAGTTGCAGGGCTCCAGGTGGGGAATATCAGGATTCTGCTGGTAATACTTCTGCAACTTCTCTAAAACTGTGGGCAGCCCAACGGTAGAGGCATAGAACATGGGCCCACCTTTGTGCCGCGGCCAGCCATACCCATGCAAGTAGATCACATCAATGTGCTCTGGACTAGCAGCTATCCCTTCCCCCAAGATCCGGAAGGCTTCATTGATGAGTGCGTACAAGCAGCGCTCCAGGATCTCATCCCGCCCAATGACACGCGGTTTGATGTGATGGGTCTCTCTGTATTCTGACAGGAATTTGGAAAGCCAGGGGTCAGGTTTGTGAATCCTACCCAATGGCTTGTCATATTTATACCAACCCTGACCAGTCTTCTGGCCAAATCTTCCCAATTCACACAGCATATCAGCAATGGGGCTGTACCTTGCATTGCCTCGCTTTCGGGCAGGAGTTCCTGGAGGCAGCACAGGCCCAGTAAGACCTTGCCCCTTGCGAACTCTCCAGCCCACATCTAAGCCAGTAAGGTCAGAAACTCGAAAGGGCCCCATCTTGAAACCAAATTCTTCCAGTGCCTGATCTATGTCCTCTGGCTTACTGCCATCTTCCAATAAGAAATTAGTCTGTTCATAATAAGATCTCAACATGCGATTCCCAACAAAACCGTAACAGTTGCCTACAACAACTGCGACCTTTTTAATTTTCTTTGCTAGGTCCATAACAGTGGCAATGGTGGTGGGGGATGAGTGTCGACTGGGAATAACCTCTAATAACTTCATAACATGAGCTGGGGAGAAGAAGTGAGTGCCGATGACCTGCTGAGGGCGATTGGTAGAAGTAGCAATTTCATCCACATCCAGGGCTGAAGTATTGGTGCACAGAAAAGCTTCTGGCTTGCACACAGCTGACAGTTCAGCAAAGACCCGCTTCTTCAGGTTCATGTCCTCAAATACTGCTTCGACGACTAGATCGACACTGGCTAGGTCCTTCATAGATGAGCTGAACCTAGGTTTTGGTCCTGACCTTTGCTGGCCACACTGTTGCCTGCTTTTGGATGCTTCTTTCTCCAAGATTGAAGTTATTAACTTCTGTGCAGTTTCTAGCTGCTTTGGGTCTGATTCCACAGCAATCACAGGGATCCCGACCCTTGCAAAAGAAATGGCGATGCCTCGGCCCATTGTTCCCAAGCCTGTAGGTAGAGAGTGAAAAAGAATGATTCAAGGGTACTGGGAACCAGAAAATCACTTACCATAAGAAGCTTCAATGGCAAGGTGGCACTTAAACAGTACTGATTTAGGGTTAGGGATTTAGCTTGGTATTACAGTGTGTGTTTAGCATGCTAAGGGACCTGGTTTCAAAACACATACACACATGCATACACACACGCACACACACAAGGGAGACAAATGAAGCAGACTAGGCACTATGTTAAAGCGTTGCGGAGGAAATAAAAATTTGCACACACACACACAGACCTACAAACTATTAGAACTAATAAATGAATCCAACTAAGTTTCACAACACACAATGTACAAAAATCTATGCATCTCTGGGTACTAACAACTAACAATCTGAGTATGAATAGAAAAAAAAAATCCACCTAAAATGACACCAAAAGAATAACACATTTAGGAATATATTTAACAAATAACAGTGCTCTAAAGTCAGAGAAACGCTGGTGAAGGCATTTTTGAAGGGCAGTGATATAGCTCAGAGTTATATTGTTTGTTTGCTTAATGTGTGAACCCCCGGTTTCAATCAAAAAAGAAAAGAAAAGAGCAAGAAATATTTGGACATGGCTGCTCATGTCTCTAATTCCAGATCTCTGGGAGGCTGAAAGACGAGGACTACAATTTCAGACCCAGCCTGGGCAACTCAGTGGGACCTTATCTCAAAATTTTAAAAATAAAAATACAAATGTCTGGTGAGGGCAGGGGATATAGGTCAATGGCATAAGCATCTTCTTGGCAAGCGCAAGGTCCTGAAATCAATTCCTGATTCAAAAAAATGGCTGGAGATTTTGTGCAGTATGAAAGCCCAGGGTTCAATCCCCAGTACCATGACACACAAAACAAAAACAAATCCATGAAAAAGCACAAAGAAACATCACGTTGAAGTCAGTTATATTGGGGCAACTGAATCATCCCAGTTGGAAAAAAGCAAAGAAGAAGAATGGTTACTGCAGAAAAATTATTTGATACTAAAGATGTCACTGTTTATTTCCATTGCATTTCCTTTTATTCCCGGGCACACGTAGGACTGTATTTTCTAGACCCCTTATATCCTGGTAGAGCCTCTACCTGATTCTGGTCAGGGAAATGTGGTAGTGGTGGTGGGAAAGATGTAGGATCTGAGATTGGCTACTGAAACCTTCTATGTGATAGAGGACAACTCTGAGGCCTTGGAAGATGTCTCAGGCCAGGTGTTGCCAAGCTAGGGTTTATGGGGCAAGCCTGTGCGAAACCCTGCAATTGGGCGTCATCTTATGTTAATAAGACAACAGGCATCTTAATGTTAAGTTTCTATTTAGTAGTTAAGTTTCCATCTCTCCTCACCAAGCCTGTCACATGTCCCTGTGGTTTGGCCTGTACAGTGATTATGCTAATTAGCTTGTCTTATGCCCCCCCCAGGGAGATTCGAATTACCCTATTGCCTCCAGTCTCCCTAGAACTTCCCCCTGTTGCTAAGTTACCTGCTGACGTGTCAGAACCCAGGCCCCTCCCCAATACCCTATATATTCGTTACTCTTTCTTTTAATAAACAAGACTTGATCAGAGCACTGTCTTGTCTCCATTCTTCAAGTCTCTTGTCTCTTCTCATCCCCACTCCCCATCTAGTGTCTATGTGGACTCACCCATGAGCTGTGACAAGTGGCGCCCAATGTGGGGCAGGAGAATGGGGGACTTTGTGAGGGACGCTGTTCGTGGGCCCAAAGTAAAAAAAAAGGAAAAGAAAATAGAAGACTTGGTGACGTGGGAGCCTCCCAAGCTGCGCTAAACCTTGGTAAGTGAACAGCAATTATGGGGCAAGAAATTAGCCAGCATCAGATTTTTGTTGAAAGTTTAGGAAAGGCTTTAAAGACACAAAGAGTAAAGGAAAAAATTAAACAATTGTGTCCATTAGGGCTTAATAAATTTTATCTCAGGAGCAAAGTGACCCAGTAATTGCTAACGCCCAACCCCCTCCAGGCTTAGAACACTGCAGCCCCGCCCCCACACCAGGTGGCCGGCACAGACAAAGCCCTTAACAGGGCCCTAGCCACGCACCTTCCCCCATACTGTAATGGCCACACTGTTCCTGCTTCAGCATGTTCAACTTTCAATGCTAGGAAGGAATTACGAGACCAAATTGAACTTTTACTCTTTTTTTTAAATCCGTACCGGGAACCAAACTCACGATCATGCACTTGCAAGGCAGGTGCTCATGCTGCTGAGCTAAATCTCCAGCCCAAACTGAACTTTTAAAAGGACAGAACTGGAAAAAGAACATCAGGAGTTAATAGCCCAATTAGAAAGGCTAAAAATAGCAAAGTTCAAAATGAAAGTGAAACAAACCCCAGAGTTTCCTCCAGGATTTCTCTGGCTCAGTGAACCCCGCTCTGGGGTATGATTTGTAATTTTACCCCCTGGCCTGACCCAATATTGAAGCTAGATGATATGGAGGCTTTCTCTGTGACCAAAACTACGGACGCAGAGGGCAGAGTTTTCCGCCGCTACTCTGGTTTCATTTCAAACTGATAAGAGAATTAAAAACAGTTATTACACAGTAGGGAGCTACAGCCCCAGGCCCCCAAGCCCAAACAAATCTTTGGGGCGGTAAGCTTTGTTCCAGCAAACAGCAATCCATTTCAGACCTCTCTAGAGCCACAACACAAAGTGCAGGATTGGACTTCAGTTCCACCACCCACACAGTACCAACCCCTGAGATGGAGGTGCAGGCCCTCCCTACAGGAGTTTTTGGGGCCTACCAAAAAATACATGTAACCTTATAATAGGACACAACAGCACGACGCCTAATGGACTACGAGTTTTTCCAGGCGTAACTGATAGTGATTATTCTGGAGAAATAAAGGTGAAGGCAGAGGGCTAGAGATTTAGCTCAGTGGCATACGCGCCTGCCTTGCAAATACACAAGCCGGCAATGAGTGGGACCTTGATATGTTAATAAGGTAGGGTGCCTATGCAGACAGAGGCCTAAGCGCAATTTAACCCAGTGCTTTTCACTCAAATTCAAACCAGTTGCTCGAGCATGAAGAAAACTGCTTACAAAGTGGGATATGAGTTCCTCTCTCACGAGCATTAAGCATAAACCTGCTGTTTGACAAAAGCCATCAATTTATTAAAAAGGAAAGGGCTTAATGAAAGTAAAATTAACAGTCCAAGTAATGGTCCAAGCAGGAGTGCCCTGGGCCATGTACAGCCAACAATCTTTAGCCAAATCAGGCTTAGAAACTGTAAGGGCTATATAAGTGGCTTTTAAGATATCTAAGGTCTGGGTATATAGATCAATTCCTTGTAATTTTGGGAACGCCAGGGGGTGGTAGTGGATTTGAGGGAACAGATTATCTACAATTTGTTAGACTTGTACCTGCACCATATGTTCCCTGATCCTATCCTGTGGTCTGCCACCATCAGAAACATGAATGGGTGGGACCTGGTGTCAGCATACAGGTTTTCCAGATGTGTTAGGACATGAAGCTTGGGCATATTTCAAATTTCCAAGGATCTGTGGAATAAGGGACCAATCGTTTCCTCCAAAAGTACCTCTGGAAGTTATTTGCAATATGGCTATAAAAAAGGTCTTATTGGCGTTTGTGCATTTTTGTACAGAAGTATAGCAAGAAGAATGCATCAACTCATGACTCTGTACATACTTCAGGACATGGGTCTAATTGATCCTTATTTTGGGGAGTTATAGAAGGCTTGGGAGACATACCCATTCTTATACTTAGCCTCCTCCCATTTGGGGGCTGTATTGAAGATATGCCATCTTTTTTTTTTAATCGGTACCAGGGATCAAACTCAGTTCAGCATGCTTGCAAGGCAAGCGTTTATGCCCCTGAGCTAAATCCCCAGCCTCCCAAGATATGCCATCTTATCACTGCAATCTGTCATTCTAGTGTAAGAGGTGGGCTTAGTTTTTTAACTATACCTCCCTTACAATTACATGGGGAACCAAACAGAGTGGCACTCAGAGCCCTTGCATTGGGAAGGGGTCTAAAGCCTCCCATTCCTGGCAGTGGTAGAATCATCATGGATTCAGGCTCCTAGTTTCATCATCGGAAAAACAAGAGATGGGAAAAATTTCTTAGGGGGCATTATCGCCCCTGGAGTCATCTGTGACATTATCCTCTATTTGTTGCACTTGATCTATTTGTTTACCCAATTATTCTGGTAGCCATCTTGCAGATTTCATTTCTTTAGAGTATATGCATACTGATCCTCATCCCCAGATAAGCACTGGGTCTGGATCATACCATAAGTTAGTCAGGGGGTATCTCCATAGTACAGAAGCAAATTGCTTTTGTGTTTCAGTATGCCAAAAATGGGTGGCTGCTGATTGTCCAGCAGCATCCAAATTTTAAAAATTAAGGACAAATTTAAAAAATTAAGGATGAATAAGGCATGAAATAGAATATTTCTAAATGACCCCTTGTGGAGTACCATTCTCCCTTTTTTATCAACCATGAGTTATAGGGAGAGGTGTGCCCTTTTAACTTTGCCTTTTATATGATTAGGCCCTTTCCTTTTTAATAAATTGATGGCTTTTGTCAAACAGCAGGTGAATGCCATAAAAATGCAACCTATACAAGTCCATTACCACAGGTTTAGAATGGCTCACAGAAAAATTACGCAGAGCCTGCAAAACCATATTATGATAATGCTTTGTGAAAACATGCTGCCTGCTCCATTTCTCTTACCTTGGTGTGATAGACTGGATAGTCAGAGATGGGCAACGGGCCTCACAAAGGACACCAACCTCCACCTAAGACAGTAACTGGGCCTCTCTCTGCCCTGCCTTCCAATGACAGGTAAGGCTAGGTTGCCTCCCTGTGGAAGAGTCCTGATCCAAGATAGGCACAGTCTCCTCAAGGATGCAGCCTCTTATATTTTAAAGTAAAGGGGGACCTGTGGGAAACCCTGCAATTGGGTGTCATCTTATGTTAATAAGACAACAGGCATCTTAATGTTAAGTTTCTATTTAGTAGTTAAGTTTCCATCTCCTTTCACCTAGCCTGTCACATATCCCTGAGATTTGGCTTGTACAGCGATTATACTAATTAGCCTGCCTTATGGGCCCATACGCAGGACACTTAAATTACCCTATAACCTCTGATCTCGCTGTAACTTCCCACTGTTGCTAAGTTACCTGCTGACGTGTCAGAACCCAGCCGCTTCCCCAATACACTATACATGAGACTTGATCAGAATCCTGTCTTGTCTCCATTCTTCAAGTCTCTTGTCTCTTCTCATCCCCACTCCCCCTCTAGCATCCATGTTGACTTACCCACGGGCCAGGACACAAGCTCAGCCACTAAGTTGTACAGCCAAAAATCTTTGCACATTTCTAAGTAGATGAAAAGAATACTATTTTGTGATATATGATAATTATATCAAAGTCACATTTCAGTGTCCTAAACAAAGTCTTATTGGAACATAATCATACTAATCACTTTCATAGTATCTATGGCTGTTTCTGCACACACTGGCAGATATGACTGGATATTACAGCCCACAAAAATGTGAATATTCACTATCTGGAACTCTGAAGGGAAAGCTTACTGACATAGACAGTGGTACAGGCACCAGCTAGAAAGATTCTGATCCTGGAGGAGCCCAGTGAAGTAAGAATAAATCAGTCTTCATTATGCTCTATCATGGAGGTTTTGTTGTTGTTATCTGTCACAGCAGCAGGTAACCCGTTATCTACCCAAGTCGGTGTGGATGAAACAGCTTTGTGAAAGGCATTTATTATTTATTTACATGTGTATTTATTTTTGAGACAGAATCTTACCATGTAGGTCAGGCTGGACTTCAGCTCTCTAGGTAGCAATCACCTGTCTCAGCCTCCTGAGTGCTGGGATTCCAGTCATGCACTACCACAGCCAGGTGAAAGCCACTTAGGGTAAGGATTGGTTTTGAATATAGAATATATCAGCTCTCCCATATTGCTGACTTAATTTCTCTAGGTTATATTTATTTACTTTTCCAAATTTATTAAATTATTTAACATTATATATGACCTACAGTATAATAAATGAATGCATTGTTATGCATGTTGTAGCTTGGCATAACTGATGCCATCTTGTGCCCTGTATTTGACCCAGTGCAGTAAAAAATTAATCTGGGTACAAATTCCATGAGAAAAGCAGAATGAGCTGCACCCACAGGAGAAAAAATTAACCTGCTCAACAAAGAAGCAAGATACAGGTGTCAACCAAAATTAATGTAAGATTCTAGCTACATTGTTTACAGATTTTTGCTTTAAATGCCCTTTAAGCCTTCTTTTTGGGATCACTCAGTTTGACTCAGAAACAGCGGTCTACGTGAGTGGTCACTGAGCTCAACTAATAAAATTCCAAAATTTATCAATTTGGCTGCTTAGATTTCTATATTGTTTATGAGCCCACTTTAATACATATTTTATATTATAATTTTTAAACTATCTGATGCGCAAATTATTAAACACCTGCATTTCTCTCAGTAACAAGGCCAAACAGCTGTCACTGCTGTAGCAACTTCCATCTTAAACTTTGAGAAAACATCAGGAAGTGAAGTGTGAGATTCAAAACTAGCTATCAGTTCCAAGCTTCATACAAAGCTTCTAACATTAGAGAAACTGCAGACTCTGTGGACTGTAAGGAGTAACAGGATGTCCTGGGCCTGTGCCCTGTGAACTCAAAGCTGGAAACAGCAGGAAAGACAGAGCATCTTGGGGAAGACGCAGCGTGGGACTTCAGGGCCTGCATCTCGCCACAGGCTGTGTGCTGAAGGGTGGGACGTCAAGGGGGAGTGTGGGGTAGACACAAATCAACTCATAATCCAACTCTAACATGCATCAATTAATATTCTTTAGCTCTCATTTTAGGTCTTTTTCTTTATTTCTCTAACACTTTAACTTAATAATTCAAATAAAAATATGCACCAGAACAAAACGAAACCAGAATGGTGGTGCACACCTGTAATCCTAGCACTTGGGAGGCTGAGACAGTAAGACTGTTTAGAGTTTGAGACCAGCCTGGGCTACAAAGTGAGCTCAAGGCCAGCCTGAGGTGCATAGTGAGACCCTGTCTCAAAAAGACAACAACAACAACAAAACTAATACTGCCCTGAACGAGTTTTGAACTCTTTCTTCTAGTGACACAACTGTGTGGTCTCAAGACATTCAGAACTATCAGTCAAGGGGATGCAGGACCAAGCTTTTCACTGTCAGTTATTACAATACTGCACATACACACTGTACTGGTACTGACTTTAGTTCCCTAATGGTGTACCATAAACATATACAGACAGGGAAAAAGAGCTGTGTTCCTCTACCAAGCTCACTGCCGTGGAACTGAATTTTCCAGGAACCTCATCCACCCAGGAGGATAAATCAAGAAGAAAAATGCTTTAAATACCCCTGCAGTTTTTAATGAACTACATTCTTCTCCCAGCCTGATGGCCATGAGAGCTCAGGTCAGGTGGAAGAAGATACACATGTAGCGGCATTGATCCCAGCCTTGTCTCTGGCAGTGCTGAGAGGCCTGGGCATGGGTCTATGTGTGTGCACAGTTAGGAGGATCAGGGTTGGAATTTTTCCAGGGAGCATGGTGAAAGGTCAGTGATTCAGAGTTTGAGGACACTGCCAAGAGAACGGCTGAAGTAATCACCTTTCAGACTAAATATGAATGCTCAAAAAAAGATAAAGATAAGGGGGAACTGATCAAGTCGAGAATGTAGGTGAAATAACCACGTACAAGACACAGAAAGCTAAGAGACCATGGAGAAACAGTGGAGTTTCAAATCTGACAGACCAAGAAATTTCCCCAGTGATGGCAAGGCCTACGGGGAAGCCATGAGTGTGGATGGTGACAGTAAGGTGAAGCAAAGTGACTTTCACGGAGTCTGAGGAGGCCGAGGAATGCAGAAGCTACAGCGGGGAACACCATCCACACAATCAGAGTGGGCACTGGATTGGGTGAGCCAGGCACCAATATTTTCAGGAACTGAGAAAGAGTGAAGAAATTTAAAAGGACAGATAGAAAGATGGGCCCATTAAGCAGGCCCATGAACAAGACAGTCCAGAAAACATAAGAAATTTGAGAGAGAATTGAAAGGGGACTCTGAGGACTATGGGGTGTGGGAGAAGCCAGCTGAGAACAAGCAGGTCCTCAGGATAAGCTAGATTTATGGTCAGAAGACAGAAAAGAAGGCGCCCAGGGAAGAAGACAAGCAGTCAGAACATTTCAGAAGGCACGCGGGAATAGCAGAAGGCTGCAAAACAAAGCAATAATGGTTCTCACTGGGAGGAGAGAATGGACCCAGGAACCAGAAAGACAATGGAATTCATTTAAGTACCTGCTTATAAGAATGACAGGTCACGGGGCTGGGGATTTAGCTCAGCGGCATAAGTGCTGCCTTGCAAGCAGGCAGTCGTGAGTTCGATCCCTGGTACCAATAAAAAGGAAAAAGACCAAAAAAAAAAAGAATGATAGGTCACACCTTGAAATGTACTACAAATAACCTTTGTTGGAGTGATTCATATACAGAAGAGGCAGAGGTGAGTAAAGTCTGGAGTCAGACAGACCTAGGGTCAGGCCTTCACACTGCTGGAGTTTAGCTCACAGTTGAAAATATTTGTATCTCTGTATCACCTATATATCACCTGTATTATCTCTGGATCACCTATAAAATATAGAAGGCTCAAGGAGGCAAACAGAGCTGACATGAATAAAATGTTCAGCATAGAACTCAGTGCCCGCAGACCCTCGCTGAAGGCCGAATCCCAAGAACAGCCCATGGGCTCACCAAGAACACCAACGGAGGAGACTGGGCGCGCAGCAGCTGTTTTCCAGGAGGCTCCAGATGGGGTTGACCACTTGGGTGCACTTCTCTCAGCGAAGAAGGCATACTGCAGGGCTTTGGCCTGCCCGGAGTGCTGAAGGTACAGAAACAGTTCTCTCTCTTTCTTGATGCCCTCTTCATAGGGGTACTGCACAGAGGCCTGGACTGAACGGACACAGGTCTCCGGAGCAAGCTGCCCTGGGTGCTGCCTCCGCATCTTCTCGACGGCTTCCCCAAAAATGGCGTCCATGTTGGGCAAGCTGGGGACTGGCCTGTTGAGGATTCTGCGAGGTTCTAGGGGTTGATCTGAAAGGGTAAGAAAGAGCAGAGCTTTAGTGATATACCTTATACGTCCTAGCAAATAATAACAGTAGTAATGGTTTCAAAGTACTAGACTAAAATACTACCCTTCAAGATATTTAATGGAACTTTAATACCAAAATCTCTGGCACTGTTGTAACTTAGTCAGATAGAATTTAATCATGCCCATAATCCCAGCACTCTGGAGGTTGAGGCAGAGGAATCACAAATTCCAGCCCAGCCTGTGCAATTTATGCCGGTTAGTGAGACCCTGTTACTGAATAAAGAAATAAAAAGTACTGGGGATTTAGCTCAGTGCAAAGGCCCTGGGTCCAATCTCCAGGACTACAACAAACAAACAAAAAGAAGACAGGGTTATTATGATGTAAAGGTAGGCATAGAAATGAATAGAAGACAATTGGAAGGGCATCAATAAATCCTTCCAATGATGGCTAATTGATTTTCAGCACAGGTGGAAAGAACACAGTTCAGTGGTGCAAGGAGTGTCTTTTGAACAAATGGTATTGAGGTAATTTAATATCCACATATACAATAAATACAAGTTTTAGTTAATTAAAAAGTAGACCACTGGGGCTGGAGGTTTAGCTGAGCAGCACAAGTGCCTGTCTGGCAAGCACAATGTCATACGTTTGATCCCCTATACCAAGAAAAAAAAGCAGACCCCTCGTTAGCACCCTATTATTATAAAAACTAATTCAAGATGGATCAGAAATCCATAGACAAAGTAAATTTCTAAAAAATTGTTGGAGACAATAGAGGAACATCTTTGTGGTGTTAAGGAATCTTTTCACATGCACTGTCTCAAACCAAAAGTATTAGTAAAAAATAATAATTCCACACAAAAATGAAGAATTTTTTACTCTAAAAGACACCACAAGAAAAAGAAACGAATATCATGGTGTAGGTCAAAATATTTGAATGGTAGGCACAATAATGCACTCCCCCAAAAAAGCAGGGAAACATAGAAAGAAAGGGAAAGCACAAGACTAACTAAAAATCAAAGTAAGCAAGCAGAAACTATGCTTTTTATGAGATAAAAACTGCAAGTACAAATAAGATTCTGTGACTCGGTCCTTCTCAACTGCTCTATTCCTCTACCTTCTATTTCTAACAATTATTTATGGCAAAGCAGCACCAGGAAATCACAAGATTTCAAATACCGATGCTCGTTACAGACTGCTGCTCCAGCTGCACCAACGACCGGATGCAGGGACTGACCATTGCAGCTTTCACGTTTTTTGGAATAGGGTTTGGCACCCACTAATTTTGTGGAGGCCTTTCCTTGGCTGGAGGATGAATACAAAGCTCTCAAAGGAGACTGGCTGTGGTCCACACAGCTGAGGCTGAGGATAGAGCCCTCGGCCCATTTCCCTGTCAGAAAGCATCATTTCCACACCAACCAGGCCTCCCTTTCTCTTTGAGGAAAACTTACCAGATCAAAACCCCTCAGCTTCTTCCATGGAATGTCTTCAAATGACCCTTTAAAATGAGTCCCCAAGCAGGGGACCAGATGCTCTGTTCGACCCATAGCCTAACAGTCTTCACAATTATTTCTCCTAGCAATTCCTACCTCTTCTTGTTTATACAAAGCTGACCACCTCCACAAACTGAAGAGGTTACCATCCTATTTCTTAATTCCAGAAACACTCAGGTCATAAAAATTTCCAAAGGTACAAAAGGGTAAACTGTAGAAAGACTCTCCAATTCCTTCCACTGATTGACCAGTGCTGTTCTCAGCAGGAACCTCTCCATTTCTCGTGAATCATCACAGACCTATTCATGCATAATTAAATTTATATACTCTTCATATGCATATATTCTCTTCTGGCCTCCCCTTTTTTGTTACACAAATGGAAAACCACCACATACAACATTGCTTTTTTATTTAATACTAAATACACCATGGGTTCTATACCATATTGGTAAAAACTTTTTAAAAATCATATCATATTCTACTGCATGGATGCCCTATCAAATATTAAAGAATTCAGGCAGACATTTAGTTTGTTCCCAGTTTGTGCTACTTTTATCATTAACTTCTTACTTAAAATTTTCTGAGCGAATTTGATTGCTTCTTCAACTGGGGCTGAATTAACGACTTTATCCAGAATACCCAGCTTGAGTGCTTCACCTGCTGTAATATGCCGTCCTAAAAGAGAGCAAAATAAAACAGATAAAAAGCAATATGAGAGTAAAGTGAAAGCATTGCACTCTCTCCAAGAACAGTGTCTTTCCTGGATACAGATGTCAGTCAAGTGCAATGAATCAGGACCACCCTGACCGCCGCAGTGGAAAGACCACTCGGCACACATAGCCAGTAATTCAAGTTCAAGTCACAGCTCTACTTTTGGTCTGTAGGACCAGCAGCCACTGTGTAAGGACCACCATTTCCTCATTGATAAGTAGAAATAATTATGCCTATCTTTCTAAGTCAGTACTGAGTGAAGATTAATCATCTCTTTATAGTTTGTAAATCCCTACAGAAGTGCTTTGTAACCTATGAACAAGAGGTGGTTGATTTTCAGATAAAAATAGAGACGGTAGCAGTAGAGAAGCAGCAGTGTTGTCTGTCACACTGGGCCACATGTCAGAGGCTGCAACTGATTGACAAAACAGTCCCCAGAGGGGAAAGTGGCGATTATGTTGACGTGATGCAAGGATGGATGGGAAGCAAGCAGAGCTGAGGAAGGTGTGGTTCCTTCAGTCCCATGGCGGTGGGCTGTAGAACGCAGTCACACACTCCAGTGAGGGTTTTTGCTCTAGAGTCACTGATCTCATGCAGTAGCAACAACTTAAATCTCATTCTGCAGGCTGATGCCTGGAGCCATCAGCACCGGCAGCTTTCAGGGTCCAGAGAAGGTGCCAGCATCGGTAAGGGACGTCACTTCTACAGTGACTTCATAAAGGTTGCATCAATCCCAGAGCAGCTCAGCAAATCTTCACCAGCTGGGAATAATTACTATGGTTTGCCAAATTTGAAATAGGGTACAAGGTCCACAAGTGTCCATCCCCACAGGGGCAGGAGGAAGGTGAGAATGACATTATCACCTTGCTTTCTCGCCAGCATGATGCTGCCTTTGGAAAGTGATCATCAAATCAATCTTAGTGGCAACAATTCCAATGTCTGGTTCCAGTCTCTAGGACAACACCCCTATTCCTGGTTCTTAGGGGTGCTTCAAGAGACCCTAAATGAGTTTTCTTGACCAAAGATTTCAGTAATTTTCCAGGAAAAAGACAGTATTTGGATACATTTATGGAAATGCCTTTGAAACAGGTTTCCAGATATCTGCCTGAAAGAGGGTACATGAATGGTGTCAGGGATCACTATCCTGTGTCCAGGGGCCAGTCACTTAAGTGAAGGGTAAAGAAATCAGGTTCACAGGGTTAAAAGATCTAGAGGTCACAGATGGAGGTGAAAATGCCAAGTACTGAAAAGATCTCTCAGGAATGGAGCAGAGCCATGTCAACAACTACCAAGATGGACTGATTCATTATTTTTCTCAGCGACAATGGTATCTTCTAGCTTCAGTTTCAGAGAAAAAAGAAAGACTACATCTACTATTCTCCCAATGTCAATGACATTCAAAGTCCTTTTGAGATAAGGGAAATAATGTCATTCTTAACTTGCTAGATGTCAGATACACAGAGCTTGAGTTTTTTGAAACTGAAGAATGAATGCTGAGGAAAAACAGAGGTTAAGAGTAGGAAAAATTTACTGAGAGGGAGAGCTCTTGAGAGGCAGGAGGAGACATGAAAATGAGTTGACAATGAACCCACTTTCTAAAGGAAGTTTTATAGAGCAAAAATCATGAGATTGGTACAAAAATCACAAGGTGGGCATAACATCAGTCAAAACTATGACTAGCAAATAAGATTATACATATTGTCACTCAGACGATATTGATCCAGTGGGGAAGCAGGTCATACAGCAAATGTACAAGAAAAGACCATTTTAGGGAGGGACGTGTTAGGAGATCCTGGTCACCCACCTATCTAGACCCATGTCTATCTAGACTTTATTGGACCAGGTAATGTCAATTATAATATCTTTAATTTATTATTTACCCCTCAGGGAGGCATGTAGGCCTGCTAATTTTGTCTTTATCTTGAGACCTCTAGATGTGCCTCTACTCACAGTTGTACTGTGTTTTCATCTTTTGCACTGGCTCCTTTGAGGGCCTCGCTCTGTCTATAATATTTTTAACTAACTTGGCTGTCTGTACTATTCCTTTCTCTGAAGAGGATCCCCTAACTGTTGTAAGGGAGCAAAAGACGATGGCCATTTTGGCTATTCTGGGCTGAAGGGGGTCAAAATTGTGATTGGTGGTTAGAGATGCTCTACATGGTCTAGCTAAAGCTTCTGAATAGACACCAAGCAGGTTCTTCTTGGGTAGGCAGATAGCTTTAATCTGGAAGGAACAAAGCCAAGTATGCATAGGCCAAATAATAAGATCAGCACAACTATTACAAATACAACCAACACATTTTTCTACAGGAAAAGCCAGTAATAACCTCCCACAAAGAGGGTAAGCAGATGGTCTAGGGAATTTTAGAATCTGACATGACATTGACCTGTTACTTAACAGCTTGAACAGGCACTGAGATATTAGCAAAAGGATCAGGAATGTACACATAACATTTAGCTTTTATAACTGCACAAGTACTCCCCTGTGCTGCGGTTAGGATATTTAATGCCATTTGATTTTGGAGGACAGCTTGCCTCGTTAATTCTATTTTTTCACTTAGGAGACAGAGAGACCAGTCGAGCTGTCATTTAAAACCCATTGAGTATAGTTAGCTTAAGGCCTCCATGTGTTGCATGACATCTTCTAATCTAAAGGAAAGGACAAAGGTAGAAACCAAGTGACCATAGCAGTGAAACACATTCCTAGATCACTGATGTTACAGACTGGGTAAGCTTGCAGGTTTGCTGATATTTATGCCTTGTAGCCATACAAATTCCAGTATGCATCTCCATATGCATCCAGGGGGTAGCCAGGGTGACAAATTGGTTCCACAGGGCCAATGAGTGCCATTGGAGGCTTCTCATTTAATTCCACAGTGATTAAAACAGTCTATTGTAAACCAATCTTTGACCTATAAAGTTATGGTATGTATATACACTGTTCTGGGGAGTTTAGTAGAGTTAGACCAATGACAATAAGAGTGATTTCTTTGTTCTCAACATGAGGGGCCCTTTTTACTAAAGTGTCCTACGGTGGAAGTTAGCTGTGGGAAGCCACCTATGATGGCGCCCATTTCCTGCTTCCGGGTTCTTCCCGGCCTGAACAAGCCCGCCAAATTGTCATGTCTGCCCAGTTACCCGTGACGCTAGCCTATCAGCTTGTTAGACGCGCTTCTCTGTGATTGGATACTGCTTCCCCTTATAAGAGGCTGTTCCTGCCCCCAACGGGCGGAAGAGGAACCAACATTGAGGGTGGCGGACCTTGTTAGGTCCGGTTCGCTGTACGCAATAAAGTTTGAGAGCTGATCCTGCTCGAGTTTGGTCTCCTGTCTCCCGCGGCTCCGGTCAGTTAGCCACATATAATCATCCTATATCTGAAAGTAGCCATCCTGATATCTGTGTTTATTGGCTTTCAGGACAGGACCCTTCCATTAGAAGTTCTATTAGAGTCTGCAGAGAGGCATCAGCGACATTCTTAGAAAAAATTTGACTATACCCAGGATCATTAAGGGTGGAGTTTGTTTGGGTTGAGTACGATCAAGAGACCCTTCCCAGACCACGGGGCCTGAGAGAAGACCCTCAAGCAGCTTTTTTTGCAGCTGCATCAGCCAGTTGATTACAATGAGACATTTTTTCAGCTCCTTTTTGGTACCCACAAGAGCAAATTACCACCACTTTGAAGGGCATGTAGACAGAAGATAAAAAGTTTATTTGTCTTCTTATGGTACCTTATGAGAGGTCTATCACTGGCTGATAGGCAATTTCTTTCTTTTCATATGGCTGCATGAGCATGAAGCACTAGGAAATTGTACTTTGAATTGATATAAATATTGGCTTTCGGTCCTTCAGTGAATAGAGGAGGAAAGTTGAGGCAATTTAGGGTTTTCCTTTCTCTAATACTTAGCAGAAACCTGACTCTAAAAAAGGAAAGTACAAAGTGACAGGAAAAGATCAGAGATGAGATCAGAAAAAGAAATCTTTCACATTTACAGTGAGTTACTGAGATAATTTCCCATGAGTCATCACATTCACCTTGGAAAGGTGAGAGTGGAGAATCTCAGGAGCTACAACTGCCTCCTCACCAGTGGAACTGCCTTCTCAGTATTGAATATTGAATACTGGTGCAGAATGACTCAGTATTCTCATCTAGAGTGTAAGTGGGGTAGGGATCAGGTCAAATTGTCCCACCAATACCTGTCCTCCAAGTGTTAAGAATGGCTGTTGACCTATTGCCTTTTAACTGGAAGTTGGAGTCTCATGATTCATTAATAGGCATGTATATTTCTTAAATATCAACTAGATTTCATAAAAAGATTCACTTTATAGCATTTTATAAATTCACATTGTGGTTAGTATCAAAATCTACTAGGGGATATTCTACTATTACTTTACCCTAGTGCTGCTGTCTTAAGATAAGACAACAAATCACAACAGTCAAACAGGTCAAGTGGGGAGCATCAACAAATTCAGCAACTAGTTAGTCCAAATGTAGCATACAAAAACAGCAATGTTATACCTTGCCTGCAAAAGTAAAATGTATCATCAAAGAAACATTATAATCCTCCCATCTTTGCAAACTAAATTTATCATCATTTTAACAAAGAACAATGCTAAAACAGACAAGGCATAAAAAAATCAAGGGGTAATCAACTGACAAACAAGGACTACAATGTCTGATTACCTAACTGAGTCACAATCCAGAATTCATGAAACAAAAACAAACTCTTACCTCCTTCCAATTATCTCGATGGGACCTCCAAATGAATAGGGGAAATAATATAACTCCCAACCCATTAGATATCAGAAAAGCTGAACTTGTGTTCCCCAAAACTGAAGAATGAATTCAAATGAACAATGGAGGTTAAGAGTAGGAATAATTTATTGAGAGAGACAGCTCCTGAGAGACAGGAGGGGGCAAAAAAGTAAGTTACCAATGAGCTCACTTTTTAACGGAAGTTTTACAGAACAAAATCACAAGATGGGTACAATGTGAGTCACAACTATGATCAACCAAGAAGTACAGCCACTTAGGTGACAGTGATCCAATGGGGAAGCAGGTCACCAAGTAGCAAGTATACATGGAAAGAACAAGGAAGGACTTTTTTAGGAAGGAATGGATTAGGAGGTCCTGCTCACCTACCTTGGGCTGATGTTTATATAGATTTACTGGATCAGGTGATATCAATTATACTATAATCTTTGATTTATTGCTTTTGTCTTGGGGAGGCATGTAGGCCTGGTCATTCTATCTTAATTTAAGGCCTGGCCTTTGACAGAGGTGCCTCTACCCACTGTTGTACTGTATTTTCATTATCTGCCCTGATTCCCTAGAAGCCCCAGCCCTGGCTGACTGCCTATAATATGTTTACCTAACTTCTGTCTATAATACTTTTAGCCTGTTTCAGAGCACTGGGTAAGTCCACTTCCTTGGGCTGTTTTTCCTCCCTCCAGTGTGGTATTGGGGATCAATTCAGGGCCTCTCTTATTAGGCAAGCATTCTGCCACTGAACTATATCCCCAGCCCTTTCAAAATTTTTATTTTGAGGCAAAGTCTCAATAAGTTGCCCAAGCTGGTCGTGAACTTGAGATCCTCATGCCTCTACCTCCAAAGTAGCTGGAATTCCAGACAAGGAACACTGTCCTCAGCATAAGCTTGTGATTTAAGCTTGTTTTATCTTGGCCCACTATCAGTGTGGACACTAGCCTCTGTCTAACAGGCTTCAATAATAGCTCTGTGTAGCTCCACTCTAAAAAGACTCCAATTTAGTTGAGGTAGAGATTTCTGTTCTTCATGCTGGAGATTCAAATACTTTTCCAATTTTCTTAATCAGTTTTCCCCCCAAATTTAAAAAACAAATGTATAAAATTATACATTCTAGGGCCAGGAATTTAGCTGCCTGCCTTGCAAGCACATCATGAGTTCGATCCCTGGGACAAAAAAAAAAACCACCTAAAAATTATATATCCTACACAAATAGGTATAATGATTTAAATAGTAGCTTTCTTCTAATTCACAATAACATTTTCTATGCAAATGAAAACTCTGTCACAGTTTTTACTATTTTATTCTCGTCTTTTGAAACAGGGTCTTGCCATGTAACTGAAGCTGCCCTTGAACTTATGGTAATCCTCATGCTTCAGTTCCCAAGTGCTGCCTCATACCTAGCACATTCTTAATGTTTTATTTCTCTTCATGTTAAGAATAGTGGCTTCTATCAAAGCAGTGCCTTGAGAAAAGTACGATCCCAGTTTAGTTCATTTCTTTTTGTCAAATAAGCCAGTCTGATTACTGAGTTTGCCCAAGATACTGACTTAATACTGAAAGTAGAGTCTCAAAATTCCTCTATATTCCCCTCCAACTGTAATTTTGGAAAGCTTAGGATTTACAGGCTCATTTCATACCAAGAAGCCTTGCTTGTAGATTTTTACATCTCTTCACTTCCTTTGTTTCTTGTATTTTACAGAATAAACTGGCTCATGTGTTTGAATTTTTGTCCTTTAGAGTGTAAGTATCCTGCTAACACTTCTAAATCAGACACTTAAAATTTTTGATTCAGCTTCTTTAAGATGTGACTAACATATAATTGTAAACTAAGGTCATCTGTAACTTGATTTTTAAAAATAAATGTAATATTTTAGTTTTTCTAACTTCCATATTCCTCAGGATTTACCATTTAAATTATTTCAATTATTAAAGTCATTTTTAATGCACCAAGACCCTTTACTTTCAGACTGGATGTCATGGTTTATGTAAGTGGCCCCCATGACTCATACATTTGCATTGTGCATTTGTGATTGGTTCATTGTCTAGCTTGGATTGATGGTGTCAATGCTACACCCATCTAGGGGTAAAGTTAGTATACAATGTAATGGCAGGAAGGTGTGTCTCTGTCTTGCTGGTTTCTGGCTTGCTGTTTGCAGCCACCATGAACTGCCGCTCTGCTATGACACCCTGCCTTGGAGCCAACTGAGTATGGACTGAAACCTCCAAAATCTGTACGAAATAAACCTTTCCTTTGCCAACTTTGGGCATCAGGTATTTTTTCTCAGTTACAAATAAAAAGTAACTAAGATAGAATTTGGTAACGAGAGAGGGGTCATTTGCTGTCACTATACCTGACCATGTTTTTCAAGAAGCTTTGGAAATAGCTTGTGGGCAGAGTTTAGAAAGGTTCAGACATATTGCCTGGATGCATAGAGCTGGAGCAGCTTGGGCTGTTTTGTAGAGGAGATTCTGGTCAGAGCTCAGGAGACCAGAAGGTTGTGAGAAAGCCTCATGGTAAAGACCAGGCTCAGGTGGTTTCTCCTGGGAAGAAGGACTCCATTGGTTGTTGGACTCCCCACCATGTGTGTTATGGTTTAGCAGAAAGTTTGTCTGTATTTTGCTCATGCCCAGAGACTTTGTCTGAGACTAAGACTAAGGGCAATGGATTGATTAATCTGGAAAAGGAAATTTCAAGGCAGCTGAATGTTGAGGGTGTGGCATGGCTACTGTTGGGGGCTTTTAGCCAGCTTTATGTTCCAAATCAAGAGCAAAGAGCCCAACAGGATAATTTACAATGTTGTGAATTTGGCCAGAAGGAAAACTCCAGGAAAGCTGTGGATTATAAAGACAGAGTTGAGACTTTGATTGCTGAGAAGAAACAGAGAGATAAGAAAGATGGCCCTGGGGCATTCCAGGAAGCAGCAGGTCTCCACCCTTTGTAGCCTCAAAACTGCAAAAGTGAAAAGAATTTGCTCAGAGAAGAAAGCTGCAGAGCACCATATTCCTGAATGGCAACAGAGGCCACATGAGGTTCCAGATGGCAGCAGCCACATGAGGTTCCAGAACGGCGGCAACATAGAGAAGCCTTTCTTCACAATCAGGTTTAGAGAGACCAGCAATCCAGGTACTGGACCCCTACAGCCAAGAGAGAAAAAAGCCTGGCTACTGTTCCAGATAGCAGCAAACCTTGGCAACATCCACATGGTGCTGATTTTAGGTGCAAGGAAAATGTACAAATTCTGAGGGTAAGATGGCTTCTACTTGGACTGCAAAGGGCCTGGGAGGCCAAGCAGTGTGCCCCTTAGAGGGCAATTTGTAAAGATGCAAGGGTGAGGCCAAAGGTACAGTGGAGACCCTAGAAATTTGGAAAAGCCAGGAACATGGATCATCCAAGGAAAGCTGCAAAAAGAGAGCAGAGAGGATTTGAGAGAGAATCTGCAAGAGCTGAAATCCCTGAAAGTGCCATGAGGGTGGAATCACCCAAGCCTTTTGGAGATTGCAACCAGACTGCTTCAAATGCTAAGCATGAAACTCTAGGACTTAATGTTTGCCCTGCTGGATATTAGATATGCTTTGTTTCTAATGCTTTATATTCCCCTGTTTGTAATAATGGTAATGTTTATTTTATGCCTTTGCATTTCAGAAATGTTTAACCTTGTTTCATTTGTATAGGGGGTTACAGTTAAGAGTTTGCCCTAGATCTTGGAGGAGACTTAGAACTTGGACTTTTCAGCAATGCTGAAATTGTTGGGACTTTAGCAACTCTTGGAGATGGACTAAATGTCTTTGGTATAAAGGATGTACATGAATCCTGGGGGCCAGGGTGGAATGTCATGGTTTATGTCAGTGGCCCCTAGGCCTCATGCATTTGTATTGTGCATTTGTGATTGGCTTATTGTGCAGCTTGGATTGATGGTGTCAGTGCTACAGTGATCTAGGGGTGGAGCCAGCATACAATGTAATGGCAAGAAGAAGGTGTGTGTCTCTCTCTTGCTGGGTTCTGGCTTGCTGTTTGCAGCCACCATGAACTGTGGCCCTGCCATGCCACACTGCCTTGGAGCCAACTCAGTATAGACTGAAACTCCAAAATCTATAAGAAATAAACCTTTCCTTTCCCAACTCTGGGCATCAGGTATTTTGTCTCAGCAATGGATAAAAAGTAACTAAGGCACTGCGCTTAGTTATACAGTTTTCTATTTTCTTTCTGTGTTAAAACCTATAGATTTCTACTAAAATTCTCAAACATGTAACTCTTAGCACCCTTTTGCAGTTTAAAAATTAGGGAGAAATCCCCAAACTTATAAATCATACAGATAATATAGGTTATTATCTATCTAAACTTACTGTATTAGAGATTAAAACAGAGCTTTAAACATGAATCTATATGAAATTATTTTAAATAATAATGAAAACTCAATGCATGTCAACCAAAATTTTTATGCAAATAACCATAGTCACAATTTTTAAAAATTTATTTTCATTGAACATTTTCCAGGATATCAACTTAGTTTCCCTTAGACAAAGACAGTATGGCACTCGTAACAGAGGGAGTTTTTTACCACCTCTAGGAGGGTTCTAAGTATGCCATATTTTAAAAAGTCACATTTTCATTTTAAAGTTAAAGTATCCCTGAAAGGATACATAAGCACAAAGTGTCAAACCAGGACTATTCTAGGTGCTGGCTCTCCACACTGATCTAGACAGTTGCTAGCAAGGTTCACACTGACCTGAGGTTATTAAGTCAAGTGCAGCAGGAACTCCAATGAGTCTGGGGAGAAGCTGGGTTCCTCTTGCACCAGGAAGAATCCCTAGCGTGACTTCTGGGAAACCAATTCGAGCCTATCAGAGAAATTGAAAGCAGAAAGGCCATTACAGGGAGATAGTACCATCCCACTGCAGACTAGAATCCTTTTAGGTTTCCTCTACTCTCCAAAAGCATTGTTTCCCTGAATTCATCAAGAGTCCCTGCAGGGCAAATCACTGTATACCTTCTTTTTTTTTCTTTTCTTCTCTTTTTTTTTTTTTTTTTTTTTGCGGTACTGGGGATTGAACTCATGACCTTGTGCTTGCCAGGCTGGCACTTATGCCACTGAGCTAAATCCCCAGCCCTACTGTATACCTTCTTAAGTAACAGCATAAGCAGAGCTGTGGTAAATGTTCATGTTCTAATATATTTCTAGTATCTGCACATTTTTTTCTCTGAAGTTATTGTGACCTGTTGAATATACCAAAAATAATACCCTCCAGTAAAGACTTCTTAGGGCCACAAGAGACAGGAAGTACAAGAAAATGCAAAGGAACTATTCCCACAGAATGAGGGAAAAAGTCCTTTTTGTTGTATTCTAAGAAAAGTAGCTTAGTTACATTTGTATTATAGCAAATTACCTGTAACATGGCCTTACTGTAATGTGTTTGGGTGACCTAATTGATATGTTAATCAATGCTCTTCTCTGTAAAGAATTGCAAAACCTTACCTAGTTAATACGTTAAGCATTGTTGCCCTCTAAAAATAACAGATGCAGTGTTAAGATAAGCTAACAGGAGTTGTTAATTACTCCTAGGCTTCCCCATTCTCTGCTGAGGAAAACAGGATTTCTTCTTATCTAAACTTGCTTGTATGTAGGGAGACTTGCTTGTTAGCACAACCCTTACCTGACCTTGCTCTCCCCAAGGAATGTAATCTCGCCATATTTTCTGTTCTGTAATATGCCGCACTGCCTTCCCCCTTTCCCTACCCGGTGGTAGACTGTCATAAAATGTGCTAATTGTGCTGTTCTTAAGAAATACTTAATTTCAAAGAAATTACAAAAATGTTGTGGCTTAACCCTAATGCACCAAAAGGGTTAAGTTCCAAATCCTTGTAAAAACTTAAGTTCAGCTTCTTATAACTTTCGACCCCTTCTCACATGTTCGCGCTAATGAGCTGTCCTGAGATAATTAACTTTCTCTTCCTCTCCGAATGTTATTGCAGATGTGCTATTCCGAGACAATGCTTATCTGCAGAATGGGAGTAACTTAAAAGGTGCCGGGCTCCCAGTGTTATCAGAACTAAGTGGACAGCTTTACAGTTTCCAGACTTGAGTCAACAGCTTGATGGCTCCGCAGGTTTCTTTGTCCCCCTACACCCTCCTGCTTTTTAAATCCCTTTCTCCAGTCTCTGGTGTGCAGTCTCCAAATTGGCTCCCAGAGACTTGTCACCAGGCCTGGCCTAAATAAAGCCTTTGCTCCCCAAATTTAATTTCTTGCTTCCTTGGGTTTTATTCCAGGGTCCGAGCTATCACACTTTTATAGGACTTTCATCTGAGTAGAGAAAGAATTTTGAGAATTCAGTAATAAAAGGATAATTAGCTGGGCATGATGGCACATGCCTATAATCCCAGCACTCAGGAGGCTGAGACAGGAGAATTGTTGCAAGTTTGAGACCAGTCTGGGCTACAAAGTGAGCTCAAGGCCAACCTGAACTGCATAGCAAGACCCTGTCTCAAAAATACAAAGGAAAAAAAAAGGATAACTAAATAAAAATGAATAAAGGATTTGAATATACATTTCATGAAAGAAGATATGCACATGGATAATTAGCCTATGAAAAGATACTCCATAGCATTACCATCAGGCAGATACAACAACAATCCAACAATAATCATAGTGAGATATTTCACATTAACTACAATGAAAATCATAAAAAGAGTATTACAGACAGCTAAGCTAGGCAAAAACATTTCAAGCAGCCAGACAGGGCTCAGCCCTCAGGGAGTCAGTGTAGAGGCTGAGAACACATTACAACTGTGGCTGGAGGTGCATCTGTCCAAGGTCAGGCCCCAAGATAAAGATAAAATGATCAGGCCTATAAGCCACCACAAGAGAGAAGCAATAAATTGAAGATTATACTATAGTTGATATTACCTGATCCAATAAAGTCCAGATAGTCATCAGTCACTCAGGTGGGTGAGCAGGACCTCCTAATCTATCCCTTCCTAAAAGGTCTTTGTTCTTTCCATATACATTGGCTATGCTGACCAGCTTCCCCAATAGACCAATACTATCTAAGCAACTAAATACATAAACTTACTGGTTAATCACAGTGTTGAGCCATGTTGTACTCACCTTGTGATTCTGATCTATAAAATTTCCTTTGAGAAGTGGGGTCATTGGCCACTCACTTTTGTGTCTCTCCTGTCTCTCAGGAGCCATCACTTTCAATAAATTTTTCCTACTCTTTACCTCCATTTTTTCTTAACATTTACTCTTCAATTTTAGGAAACACAAGCTTGGAGTATCTAATATCTAGCAAGTTGAGCATTATATTATTCCCTCTATCAAGAGCAGAAAACTTCAAGTATTGAATAGAATATAGAAAAGATAGGACCCTTAAATATCGACTGTGGAATTTAAAAATGATATAAACACTTTGGGAAATAGTTTTGCAATTCCCCTAAGGCTAAACACAGAGCTACCATATGGCCTAGCAAGGTCACTCTTTTTTTTTTTTTTTTTAATTTAAGGGAAAAAAAGAAAGAAAAAATCAAGACAAAATAGAAAAAAGGGTAGAGGTAATACATAACTTCAAAGAAAAATATTAACACTAAGAAACTACGAGTTGATAAGTTACATATTGTCCTCTTAGAAATAGTTGTTCAAGTTACAAAATCAAAGCATAAAAACTCAAACATTCAAAGTGCAAACCATTCTGTTCAATGCTCTAATGAAAACTTAGTAATACGGTCATCTATCTTATACACTTAAACATGAGATTACTCTTGAGTACAAACCCAAGAACAAAGAAAGCTTACACCCTCAAAAACATCTCATGCAAACTGCCAAATATTTGTTCATAAAATCCAAAAAAGTACCAAAAGAACCCCCAAACTTTCATCAACTGATGAATGAACAAATGTTGTATATTTATACAAAGGAATGGTATTCAGCCACAGATGTGAATAAACCAATTCATGCCACAATATGGATATTAAAATAACCCATACAATTGCAAAACATATTATTTACAGAATATTTACATCAAGGTTAACATGATTATTCATCAGAAACCACAAAAGTGAGAAGCACGGAATGACATATTTAAACTGCTAAAAGAAAACAACTACCAAAAATTCTATATGCACCAACAGTATCCTTCAAAAATAAGGACAAAATTAATATATTCCCAGGTAAACAAAAACTGAAATTTTAGGCAATAGAGTTATCCTACAAGAAATCTTTCTGTTGGACGTGAAAGGACAGTAGACAGTAATTTCAGTTCACAAGAAGAAATAAAGAACAAAATTAAAAGATAACCATATAGGTAAATGGAAAAGGAGAGTACTAACATATTTTTGTTTGCAGTTTCTCTGGTTCTTGCTTAAATGACTGCCACAGAATTGCAAACATTGTGGCCACACAATGTGAGAGGGTATAATTTGTGACAATAGCTACCTAGAGGAGTGGGTAACAAAGATTTTGTATACTGTCAAAATTAAGCTGTTATTCATCTGTGCTAGATTGCTACAAATAAAGATGTGAATTGTAATCACAAAGTCCACCCCCATTGAGAAAATAACTTTAAAATATTGTATTAGAAACCAAAAGAGAATTAAAAGGCACACTAAAACTGTGTATTCAACCACAATGAAACCATTAATAAAGGAACAAAGCAACAAACACAGAAAACAAAGTGCAAAATGGCAGAAGTTTTTCACCAATAAATATATTAAATGTAAACATACTAACGTTTACATTTAATGTACAGTACTAACTTGTCCAATTAAAAGACAGGGCTTAACAAAATAAAGACACTTAATGATGGACTGAACATGATATTTGCATAAAAACATATAAATGTAAAAGAAAAACCACCTCCCATATGCTGGTTCAAGAAAAAAGACAAAGTAAAAAGCTATAAGGAAAATATTACATAGGAAAAAAAAGCAGAAAATACTGTAATAGAATGCAGTCCTCCTTTAGTGGGTACGTCACAAAAAGGTCCTGGAGTGAAGGTCAAGGGAATTAAAGAAACAGTAATAGCCATTTACTAATCAGAGGAAATGGAACCATACCTGAAGGGTCGCTGGATACAGTGTATCTCAGCGTCAGGGCAGCAGACACCCAAGTCTCTGACCCACATTTAGCTCTCTTCCTGAAGGAAAGCACCCACACTCCCACCCCCATGCGGAGCTCAGCCTTTACCTCTGCATGCGCAATCCTGTAGTGACAGCCCAGGGACAGCTCCAGTCCCCCTCCAAGAGCCATGCCTTGGATAGCAGCCACCACTGGCTTCTCATATCTCTGCATTTCATCTACTATGGGTCCCAATCCACTGCCAGTGCCAAAGGATAGAGGTGCACTGAAGCCATGGATATCTGCACCTAAAGGCAGTAAAGACAAAGAGAAAAGAGTTTTGTGAAAGTCTTGATCTTTCCCAGTAACACAAAGGGAACGACCACTCTTAAGAAAGCTTCGGACCTCTTTGAGTTCAGGTCAGTTTGCTTTAGGAAACAAAAAAGGAATGAGTGGAAAATGTAGGACAAAATAAAAGAACGATCATCAAACCTTTACCAAGAATCCTATTACCTTCTATGATTTATCTTTTCATTTGGTGGGTGGTAAGTCTAATGTACACTGTGTTTTTACACTAATGTCTTCAGGTGATTTTTTTTTCTTTTGCAATACTGAGGACCGAAACCACAGCCTTCCCACTGAGCTACACTTCCAGTCCTTTTGTTACTCTTACTATGAGAGATGGTCTTGCTAAATCCATTAATTGCCAGGGCTGTGCTTGAATTTGTAATCCTCCTTTTCTACTTCCCAGTACTTGGATTACAGACCTCCAGTTACTTGGGCAAATTTATTTATTTATTTATTGAATCGAACTCAGAATCTTGTGCTTGCCAAGCAGGCACTTATGCCACTGAGCTATATCCCTGGCCTTTTGAGGTCAACTTAAAAGCTCCAAGAGGGGCAATAGGAGATTGCTGCTCTTAACCATCATTTTGATATTGAATTGGCCCCATTTTTTACCTAACACTGCTGGTCAAGCCTTTCACAGCAACTGAGTCCATATCTTTGTTAAGAGTACAAATCATTAACCATATAAAATTTTAGGGTAAAGTGCATAAATATTTGCTGAGATACATATTAATCAACTGCCTTAGAAGTATTTCTTGACATAACATTTTAAAAATGATTTAAAAAACTAAATTTTTTGCTTTTCCTGATTATAAAAATAACAGAGGAATCATGGAAAATTCCAGACATATACAAAATTATAAAGAAGATTAGCATCATTCTAAATACCATCATGCAGAAAATAATTTAAGATTTTGGTGAGTTCTTAGTATTTTTCCCATACATACAAGTAAATGAACTTGTGACACGGAATAAGTTATTTAATGTTTTTGTCTCAATATCTATTTTATTTTTTGTCTTTTTTCCTTTTTATTGGTACCGGTGATTGAACTCACGACCGCCTGCTTGCAAGGCAGGTGCTTATGCCACTGAGCTAAATCCCTAGCCCCTCAATATCTATTTTAAATCACTGACATGAGCATTAAATGAAAGCTTGGCATGTATATATTTAATATTGTGACGTACTGTGAAATCTCATTTTCACATGGAGATTAGGGGAGGTAAGCTTTTTGATATAGCATTATTTCATTTGAAGTCAGTAAACTTGGCATGAGTTTAAAACTAATTAATTTCATATTCAGCCTATTCACCTATTCCTTTCCCCATCTAGTATTAATTCAATAACTGCTTTGCTTCCTCATCAATCCATCATTTTGACTCTCTTTTCTAGCATTTTCTTTTCTGTTGCCTTTTAAGATTCTTTTTGGTTTAGAGAAACAAGATCAAATTAAGTTTATGTCTCAAGGCTATCATACTCAGTGCTTTAGACTGAAATAATTTTTCATGAAAAATAGAAATTAACATTTATTGGAAAATAGGTATTGTGCCAAATAGGCTCATATATTGTTTCATTTAATTGCACCTATGTTAAATAACCTAAGTTAAAACACCTATGTTAAATAACCTATGTTAAAATACCTATGTTAAATACTTTAACAATCCCCATTTTGCAGTCTTAGCTGTCTCAGAGACAACTAACTCTTTGAGATGTTAATTGATTATTTCAGGTATGACTAACAAGACACAATAGGATTTAAACAGAGGCATTTTGACTACAAAATCCAATCTCCCCTCACCTTGTCCTGGAGCCTTCTCACTGAGTTATATCCCCAGTCTTTTTTTTTTTTTAATTTTAATACAGGACAACTCTTATTGCCCAAACTAGGCTAGAATTTGTGATCTTCCTCCCTGAAGATCTAGGATTACAGGCATGTACCACCATGCCCAGCCAAAGCCTACACACAAGGGAACAGTGACTCACTTTTAAATTATTCCAAGGACAGGAAAATCCAATTAATTTTTGCATACTGATTTATACCCAGCAAAATTGCTAGGTTTACTTATTAATCCTAATAAATTTCTAGATTTTTTTAAAAATTCTAGATTATTTTAAATTTTCTATGAACATTGTTATAGTCTAGTTCTAACCATTGCGCCTCATTCCTGTTCTGTATGCGCTGCTCGGCCCCCTCCCTCCCTTCCTATCTTTCTAGGTTAAGTTCCTATTTCCTGAGAAAGCTATAACAGCCTTAGGTTTCAGTTTCCTGTGACCCCCTCCCCTACCCCTCATCCAGCTATCTTTAATAAAATGTGCTGTTCTTTAAGAAATGCTCTTCTCTGTAAAAATTGTAAAATCTTACCTAATTGATATGTTAACCATTGTTGTCCTCTATAAATAACAGATGTGGTGCTAAAATAAGCCAACAGGGGTTGTTAATTACTGCTAGACTTCTCTATTCTTTGCTGAGGGAAAGAAGATGTTTGCCCAATCTAAACTTGCTTGTATGCAGGAAGACTTGCTTGTTAGCCCAACCCTTATCTGAACTTTGCTCTTCCCAATATAATCTCTGTGTTCCTGTTCTGTAGTGTGCCACACCCCCATTCCCCTCCTTGCATTGTGAGACCAGCAGCTGTTTGTGGTTTTTACAAGATAAAAGCCCTGCCTTTTAGCTGTCAGGCCCACAGTCTCCAAATTGGCTCCCGGGGATTGCATCACCAGGCCTGGCCTAGAATAAAGCCTTTGCTCCCCAAATTTTAATTTTCTTGCTTCCTTGGGTTTTATTCCAGGGTCTGAGCTATCACAATTATCATATCTTCTGAATCATGAATGAAGTTTTATCTCTTCCTTTCTAATCCTTATAACATTTGAGTTTATTTTCTAGCTTCCTAGGTTGCCTATCACTTTAGATACAATGTCAAACAGAAATGGTGAGAACTCAGCATTTTCTTCTTCCTTTCTTATAATAAAGCTTTCAGTGCACCATTTTTTGATGTTTTATGTAGATTTTTTAAACATATATATTGTTAGCTCATTTCCTTTCTGTATCTATTTTACTAGAATTTTTAACTTTGACCCATGTCAAATGTTATTCAATGTATTTTCTTGTGCCTCTTGAAGTAATTATAGGACAGCTCTTTAGTCTTACAATAGAACAGATAACATTGATCAAGTTTTCAACTAACCTAACATCACTAGAATAAAAGTGATTATTATACCTTTTACGTAATATTGAGTTCAGCTCTAGAATACACTAAGATTTTTATATCTATATTTATTAATAAAATTACCCTATTATTTTGCTTTCCTATACTGACATTGCCAAATATTGGTATCAAGGTTATGCTAATCTCTCAAAAAAGAGGAAAGATGTTTACTGGATCAGCTTGTGTCTACCCAGAAGCCATGAATGCGACTTTATATGGAAAGGGTCTTTTATAAGGTCATTGTGGATATAATCAAGTTAAGAACCAGCCATACTGGACCCCACTAGGAAATCTAGATGTAGACATATAGGGAAGAAGGTCATGTGAAGATGTAAGGAAAGGAGTGAAGTATCTACAAGCCAAGGGCTGACCACACAGGAAACAAGGAAGGAGGTACTTACTAAAAGCCTCGGAAGGAAGAATGGTCTTGGCCATTGGTTTTTTTGTTTGTTTATTTCTGGTTCTGGGAATTGAACCCAGAGACTTCACAATAAGCTACACCTTCAGCTTTTTAAATGTAACTTTTTTTTCTTTTTCTATTTTTCTTTTTTATTACTAAGTCACTGAGTTATTCAGCCTGGGCTCCATTCTGTGATCTTCCTGCCTCAGACTCCAGAGTGCTGGGATGCCTGGCTTCCTATTAATATGTTGATTATCAACTTTTTATCCCATAACAGTGAAATAATAATCTTTGGTAGTTCTAAGCCAATCTGCTTGTGTAACTTTTTTTTTTGGACCAGGGATCAAACTCACAACCTCATGGTTGCCAGGCAGGTACTTAAGCCTGCTGAGCTAAATCCCTGGCTATCACCTTGTATAACCTTTTAAAGGGACCCCTAGGGAACTAATGTAGGAAGTGTCTGATAGATCCCCCCATCTGAGAGACAGCACAATCATTATGGCAACAGTTCAAAACTATACCCCGATAATGCATAACTCCTTCATCCCAGAAGCCCTTATGGCTTCTTCCTCCCAAAAGTCTTTGCCAAAGCTTATGCATGTAAAGGTTTACCCAATCCCTTGCACCCTCACAAAATAAATCAGCCCACATCAGTCCTCAGAGCCCTACCTCCTCAGAGCCTATATGAGGCAGAACCTGCCCTTTGTCTGCAGAGAGCCGTCCACAGCCTTCTTTGTGGTGACTCCCTCTGTGCCCTCATTAAACACTTTCTTATTTAGTGGCTTCCTCTCTTAATATTCTGCGCTGCTCTGGATTGAGTACAAAGTTTCAACTCAATCAGTGTTCCCTCACTTGTGATCCTCTAAAACATTTGTGCAACATTAGAAAAATATTTTCATTGACCTGACAAAGTTTTGCCAATGAAGTTGTCTGGATTTAGGATTTAGTCTGTGAGATTTGAGATAATTGATTGCAAATTTCCAATGGTTACACAATTTCTGGGGTTTTCCATCTCTTCCTGAGTCAGTTTTGGTCAGCTGCATTTGCCTCCTGGCTCATCACGCACCACCTGTGTTTTCTGTGGCAAGAGCATCTGCAGTGATGAGTTTTTGGTAAGTCTTTGTAAGCTTTGCTTATGTTTTGTCTTTTTTTTTTTCTTGCTCAATAGGTTTCTCAATTTAATTAATCTTTTTTTCTTGCTCAATAGGTTTCTCAATTTAATTAATCTTTTTTTCTTGCTCAATAGGTTTCTCAATTTAATTAATCTTTCACAGAACTAACTAGGAGCCCGGCATGGTGGCACATGTCTGTGATCTCAGCATTCAAGAGGCTTATGGATTTGAGACCAGCCTGAACTATTCAGTAAATTCAAGACTATTGCTGACATAGAGATCCTGTCTCAGGAAGAAAGGGAGAGAGAGAAGAGAGAGAGAGAGAGAGAGAGAGAGAGAGAGAGAGAGAGAGAGAGGAAGAAGAAGGAAGAGGAGGAGGAGGAGAAGGAGGAGAAGGGAAAGAAAGGAGGGGGACAGAAGGGAGAAAGAAGAAAATACAGAACTAACTAGACATTATTGTTCCTTTTCATTCATATTTGTTTTCAATTTCATTAACTTTCCTTCTAGGGATATAACTCAGAGGCACGAGTGCCTGCCTGGCAAGTATGAGGTCCTGAGTTGAATTTCTGGTACCTAAATAAATAAATAAATAAATAAAAATTTTAAAAGAATGAAACAAAAAAAAAAATTCCAAACTTTCCTCCTTATTTCCTTCATGCTACACAACATGGGCCTATTTTATTGCTTTATTTCCATCTGGTTGTGTTTCTTTTGCCAGTTATGTCAAATGGCTGCTGAGCTCACTCTGTTTCAGTATTTTTCTTTTCTAACCTATTCTACTAAAGTTACACATTTCCTGCTAGGGTTCCCTTAGCTGTATCCTCTCACATTTCATATCTTAAGTTTTTCATAGTCACTGAATTCAGACTATTTCTTAACATTTCACTATGATTTGTCTCAACTCAAAGGTTAAAAAGTGTATTTAATTCCAGCATGAGAGGCTGAGAGAAAAGTCAGAAACTGAAGCCCACCCTAGACAATTTAGCAATCTTGCAAACTCTATTTCAAAATAAAAAATTTTAAGAGGGGTCGGAGCTATAGATCCTAGCTAAGCCTTAGGTTTAGTCCCCAGTACTGGGAAAAGTGAATTAAATTTCCAAACACATGAAAGTTTCTAGTTAGTTTTTCTTATTGATCTGGTTTAAATGCACCATTGAGAGATAATATATTATAAAGGAAGCTTACAAGAGAGCTATTTATTTCCTGATGATGAGGATTGAACCAAGGGCATCAATGCTAAGCATATACTCTGTTACTGAACTATACTCTGATGCCAACATATGTTTTCATATTCCTGTACTTTATCTGGCCAATTTTTCTAAATATTCTTGGTATTTGTGAATAATGTATATTTTCAAATTTGAGATGCACTGTGCCAGATCTGTTCATTATGTCTAGTTTGGTGATTTCTAGTACTTTTCTAGAAATTAATTTTCATTATATCCTGTCTTCTACCTATTTCTTTAAAAAATGTCAAGTTAAATAGCAAGGTAAATGCTACTACTATGATGAGTAACATTTGTCTATTTCTTGCCATGAATCTAATATCTGAGTTTTTGCAAGCTACTATTAACATACATTAAATATCTCTGCCTGCAGTAGAATTCATAAGGCTCCCTATGAAAGGAAATGAACTCCAAAACTGAATTAAAGTGAAACACTTACGGAACATTTTCTGTGTGCAAGCAATGGATTATAGAGTTTTAGCTAAATTATCCCATTTAATCTCTCCAAAACTCCTTAAGACAGATAGATACCACTGCCCCTATTTTACAGTTAGGGAACCTGAGGTTCAGGAGCTGAGCTAGGCTGGCACAGGCTCAGACAAGGTAGAAAAGACATAGACAGAACAGACACCAAGCAGTAGATATATAGCAGCAGGTATCACAGCCTGCAACTAAATGTCCTAAAATGACTCAACCTGATATAAAAGAGGTGAAGGCCCAAGTCCTCTCTGGATGTCTTTTGGAAGGACCCAATCTTATCCCCACAGGTCCTCCTTTCCACTGTCTTCTGCCAAATCCATTACCCACACTAAGTGCTAACCCACAGGGACAGATCGTGCAGTATTGATCTCAGTCTGTGGCTGGATTCTAGAGCTAGTGAGGGAGGGTTAGACGCTAGTTACCTGCACAAAAGATATTATTTGCTCCAGAAATCACAATTCCTTTTATTGTGTAGTCTGACATAGCCTTCTGTAGTCCTTCCTTTATTCCATGGATTACAGCCGGACTAAAAGAAAAAATTTACGTAAGGCAATGAGAATTAAAGTCCTCCTATCTCAGAGATTTTCCTTCCCTAATAATGGAAAAAATTAATGAAACACATATTAGATAAAACCCTCAGATACCATTGAAGCTTTCCCTTGTTTGTTCAACAATACACACACACACATACACACACACACACACACACACACACACACACACACTGTGAATTAAGCAGTGAGCTGATTAAATTAGGTCACTTTTAAAGCTACGTTATGTTCTAGCACTTACCTTTATGTTGAACACTTAGAATCTGTATAATCAACTTAAAAACATTATTATACTAATGAGAAGGGGACCAAGAATTGGAAAGAGGCAGGAGGAGAGCAGCAGGGGACACAAAAAATTAAGATGTGGTATGTACATGTACTGACTCTCCACAATCATCATCATCATTATATATGCGACAAACATGAACTAATAAAAATATCTTAATACCATGAAATTATCTCCTATGTACAGTATAAGGAGCTCCCCGACAAATTCACAATTATCAAGTAAGGTACACTAAGTGCTGTAAAAAGGTACAAAGAAAGCGATGCAGATATTCTAAGAGGGACAAAAGTACAATTTGACAGTAGGCCAGGAATTTGGCTCAGCAGTATAAACATCTGCCTGCAAATGTGAGGTTGTGAGTTCAATTCCCGGTACCACAAAAAAAAAAAAAAAAAAAAAAAAAAAAAGGTACAATTTGTCATAGTGGCAAATAGAAGAAAAATAAAGCAGAAACCATCTGGGGAATGCAGCCGGGCTGCCAGTTATTTGAAATGTTCATTACTCCCACCTTCTTCAAAGTAGGGAAGAAGGTACTCCCACCTTCTTCAAACACAGTTAGTTTTTAGTAGAGTATATAGTATCCCAAAATAAAGACTACATATTTCTTGGTCTACTTTAAAATAAGGTTGACCCAAGGTGCTAACCAATGGGATGGAAGCACATTTGGTCTATATGACTTTCAGAAAGAGTCCTCAAAGGCCTGGGTGTCCTTTCGGCTTTTTCCTTCCTCCCTACTTGTGGCAGGAATGCAGACAAGATAGCTAGACTGAGAGGAGCCATCTTGAACCAGAAGGTAGAAGTCATGTGCTCAGGTGGTGGAGCAAAAGAGACTTAACTGGGGTCCCTCCTGATTGTAGAGCAGCCATAACATTTCAGGACACTGCTGTGAGGGCCATTATATTTTTATTTTTTAATTCACTATTATTACGAGCTTTCTGGCAGGCAGACCTAACCCTAACTAATTTAGGAGGCAAAGGCAAGGGCAGGGAAAGCTAAAGCAGGCAGAGCAGTTGATTTTGCCAAGTTTCAGTACATGAAGGAGTCACCCACAGGAGACTGGGCTAAAGGCAAAAGCATAGTCTACAACAAGGTAAAGAGAGCTGAGGGCAGCTTCTCTGGCTACATCTTCACTTAAGAAGTAGGAGAGGCTCGGCACAGTGGGAGCCTTTGTCCCAGAGACCAAGAAAGGAGACTTTGCCAAGAAGCAATGGATTAGTCAGACCAGTGTAGGGTAAAAGAGGAGAATAAAAGAAAACAATGTACTAGATGCGCTTGAAAGAAAACTGATAGGCACAGACTACAATTAATTTTGTTTGGACACAGTCTTCTAGATAAAAATCTCAGATCTTTAGTTACGGCATGGAAATAATCTTAAAACAAAGCACATGTGAACAGACTAGTGTAAAAGCCATGTTGTTTAGAAAGTAGGAGAGAAATCATCAAGGAGTAAGGGAAATACTTGCACACAGTTACAGTAATTACCATTTGCCTGGTTACTTTTGAAGTCTTAACCCACAGAAAGTCCAATGAAATCCCTTGCTTTAGACTGGTTAATTAAAAAACCAAATATGATCAGGAAAAATGAATACTGAAACATTACATAATAATGAAAGCTCCAAAAGAAATACACAGCACCTGTGAGGAGTTCCTGAACTGGCCCACCCAGACATAATGATACCCAAATCCTCATACACTTGACTCCATTATTTATAATGGTGTTATAGATGTATATGCAACTATCATTTCTAAAATATTTATGCCTGTAATACCCAATGAAACACAAATGTTATATAGATTTATACTGCCTTATTTAGGGAGAATGATGAAAAAATAAAGACTCTCGATGCCCGTTCATTAGGACTGCAAAGATACTGGGTCTAACTGCATTTTCTGTCCCTGTTGGTTGAATGACAAATGTGGAACCCAGGGATACACAGTACAATTCTGTTGATTAGTGGATAAAAAAGGGCTATAAAATGACACGAAATTAGCTCAAACAGCACCACAGAGGAGAAAAGATGGGCTTTTCCCATTTCATTGACTCCTTCTTGGTTCATTTATGCTCTTCTTACTTTTTAAAAACTCAGAAACAGGAAATGAAAAGGGCTGTACCAAGTACAGATTGAGGATGCAGTCAGAGCCTCACACCAAGGTGAGGTCCTCAGAGGCCAAGACAGTGTTTCTTGCTTAGCCCATGCATCGTGCTAGATGGAGTCTGGCGAGAAGGGGACATTTCTTGCCTGCTGACCACAGTTCTTCAAGTTTCTCAATCACAGCACATTCGTTTTATTTTTTTAAACCAAAACCACAACAACAAAGAATAAGAACAAGATACAGAATTTCAAAACAAAATAATAGAAAATCAATGAGTTAATATATTGCATATTGTTATCCTCAAATTAGATGTTCAGATTACATGGTTTAGGCCTAAAAAAAAAATCAATCAAACAATGAAAGCACAAATTGCTCTTTTTGATGAACTAACAGAGATTAGTACTATGGTTATTTATTTTATATACACACACATACATATACATACATACATAAATCTTTTCCCTTCTTTCTTTTCTCCTTTCTCCTAATCTAGTTGTTCCCAGCAAACTCTTACTTTTTTAATATTTTGTTTTGTTTTGTAATGTGTGTTCACCAAGTTAAGCTTTGTCCTTGTGACAAGGATTCTTTTCAATCAAATAAGTAGATCAGAAAGAAGACAGAATATGGCAAACATGTAAGGAGAGTAGTAGTTTCAGAAACTGTTTCCAATCACACATGTGTGAGTAGGCATCTTCAGTTGTTATGTAAAACAAGAGACTTTAGCTATATGGAATTCAGTAAAATAAAAAGTATAAGAGATTACTTTGGAGACAGCCTCATAATCAGCAAAGTCCTACACTTGTGAATAAGGTGATATTCATCTGAATAGAAGGAAATCAGCTAAACTAGCAGGGAAAGACTTAACCTACTTGTTTGCACTAAACACGTATATGAGAATAGGCATCTCTCAGTGCACCAGGGGGAGATAATCTCCCACATAAAACTAGGAACTAGGAAGGGGAGAGGAATGAAAGAAAGAAGGGTAAGTACAATGCAAAACTGAAAGAAAAAAAATTGAGGAACCTGTTAGACTTGATAAACAAGCTGGCATGTAGTCAAACCTATGCTGTTCAATATACAGAGTTTGAGTTTCAAAAAAGAAACAACGAACTCCTACAGAATGGCATGGTGTTAAGATCAGCAACTATGAGTCCAGAACCTTCAGGGAATAAAGAAGGATTCTTGGGTGTAATAATTACCTTTCACTTTGTTATCTTTTAACTCATAACCTTGAGAAATCAAACAACATTTCTCTCTTTGGATGGGTTAAATGGAAATCATGTCTACTTCAGGAAACAGGTTCTGGACTATTATACAAACATTAAGAAGTCCAAAAAGCATACCCAAGTCAGCCCTCAGTGTCAGTGGGGTATTGATGTCAGGATATAACCCCCCACACTGGGATGCCAAACTCATCATATGCTCCCATGTAGAACAGTGAATTCTTACATATAACCTATATTCATCATCTCCAGGCTTAATACTCATAAAACATAAAAGCTATGTAAGATATTGTTGTTACACTGCATTGTTGAGGGAGTAATAACAAGGGGATAAAGATTCCTAGAGACCCACCCATTGCAGACCTAGTGGATCTAACTACACTTTATCTATGGTTGGTTAAATGACCGGTGGGGGACCCAGCCTACAGAAGGACAAATCTTTTTTCCTTTGGGTAAAAGATGACTATGAAATGAGCCAAAATAAGTGCAATCACACAATAGAGATTGGTTTTTCTCATTTAACTATTTAACTTCTGCTTTATATGGTTTCTCATTTTGGAAAAACTCAAAAACAGGGCAAAAAAGGAAAGTTAGAATATGCACAGCCAATACAGCTTTACTGGTTTCAGTTGACTGAGAGGACCACAGCTTCTCAGCCAGGCCAAGGCCCGGGAAACTAACAAAGCCAGGAGTGAAGCATGGAGTCTGGGAAGAAAAGGACATGACTTGAGTGCAGAAGGCAGTTTTTTCAGCTTCTTTCACCTAAAATGTCTTTCCTTTTAACAGCTTTAGAAAACAAAACAAAACAAAGCAAACCCCCCCCCAAAACTAAAGTTCATCCAATAAAGCTTTGTAGCTTGTGACTAGAATTTTTTCAATCAAAGAAACTGAAAAGAGAATATACCAAACTATCTAACATGGGAAGGTAGGACTGCTTTCAGAAAACTGCATTTTCACTTATGCATTTGCATGTATGATGAGTCATCAGTTACTACGAAAACACAAAGTTTCTAACTATGTGGACTGCAGTTTGAAAAAATAGTTGCAAGCCACTTATTCTGGAGATAAGCCTCCTACCTATCAGCCAGGCAGTACATTTGAGATGGGGGTTGCTATTCTTCTGAAAAGAAAGAAACACAGCTGGATGGTCTAGCAATGAAGGAGTTCAATTATGTGCTTAGGAAAAACTTAACTAGGTAAGCATATTTCCCTAAGTTAGGAAAGTTAACGTCCAATGCAAATTTATTTTAAAAAATGAAAGCAATAAAAAAAGAAAAAAAATTTAAGAAACTGAGGTGCTTGTTAGATTTGACAAAGCAGCTGGAGTATAATAAAATCTCACTCTTTAGTGAACTGGCTAATAAAATCTTAAAACCAAAATCAACAAAATCTCATAAAAGCCACAAGGTTAAGACCCATAATTATGAGTCAAAACTTTAAGTATTAATAAAGGAAGGATCTGCCCTTGTGTATGATAATTACCTTTCACCTAGTGACTGTCTACCTTTCAACCTAGAAGACTGCAATAAAACCTGTTGATTTTGACTAGTTAATCAAAAACCACAACTGAATGCAAAAACAGATTATGGGCCATTACATAATATTGAGAAATCCAGAAAGTGTGTATAGTCTTTTCTTTGCACCTATGGGGAACCGGCTTCAGAATACACCCTCGGCCTGGCATGATACCAATATCCTCACATTACGTGAAATACTGGAGTATTTACACATTACCATCTATCTCATGAGCTCTAGACTACTTATAAATACCCTCATATACTATAAATGATATCTAAAAAGTAGTTATTGTATTGTTTAGGGGATTATGACAAGGAAAAAAAGATTTTGTATGTTCACTAGAGATCCAAGCAACATAATTATATTTTCTACCCCGGTTGGCTGAATGGTCACTGTGGAAACCAGCGATACAGGAGGAACTGACTACAGCATGAGCTCAATTAGTGCCACTGAGAAGGAACTGGCTTTCCCCATTCCAACCAGTCCTTCCTGTTTTATTTACATTTTTGTTAATTTTGAAAAACTCAAAAGCATGCAACAACAGAAAAAAAAAATGAGTATGACTAGATCCAGATGCCAAAGAGAACCACAGCTTTGCAGCAAGATAAAAGCCACTTGCCCACTTCAAAGTCTGACTCCAGCGTGTGGCCCATACAGCAGCGGGGCAGCCTGCACTGGAAGCTGGGACTTGAGGCTGGATGGAGCTTCAGCCTAGTGCTGAGGCGATACCTCTGCAACTGAAAGTTCTGAAAAGCCAAGCTGCGTGCAGGCAAAGGGTTGCGCGCCAGATAACGCGCACAGACGACCCCGGCTCCACCGCTCAGTATAGATCACTCAGTCTGTTTCCTGACCTGTCAAAACCCAGCTGGAACCCAGTTAACCTAGTGAAAGGTCCTTGCCCACCCCAGCGGCTGCCCTGTCTGTGTTTTCGGTTTGGACTGGCAGGGAGAGTCAGAGGCCCCGGGTCCTGGTCCGCAGACCCAAGAGACCCCGCTGCGCCTGGCTGCAGGAAGAGGGGACCCAGCTGTCACCTGATGGCGTTGACAGGCGGGTTTCGGAGGCGGATCAGCGCCAGGGAGTGGGGCAGCCTCAGGTACTCCGCCATCTCTGTCTGTTGCTGCCGAGGGGCCACTGCCAAACTCTGCCTGCCCGTGGCTTCGAGACTTGGCCACTTTTCTAGGGGAGAGCAAGGAGGGGCGTCGGGTTGACCAATGCGATCAGGGCACCGCCTCCCGCAACCCCACCTCCTGCAGCTGCAACCTGGGCGCCCACTGGCCCGAGTTCTCTGTTCTTCCAGGCTCCGCGACCCTGCTTTCCAACTCTACCTAAACTCATCGTCTCTTCTTTGGCTCCCATCCACTGCCACCACAAACTTCTCAGAGAGGACCCCTGAAAGCAGGTGGAAGTGACTTCCAGCTTTGCAATTCCGTCTCGAGACGGCCAGTTTCTGTTTCAGTGAGCTGGGCAAGCTGTACTCCTGGCCCACTTTCTGGCTCTTCCAGCCCCCCCCCCCCCCCCCCCCCGGTGCAGACCACTTAGGTTTGTGTCCTCCCTTCCCTCCCCTCATGCCCTCTTTTCTCCACCTTCTTCTTCCTCCTCCCCCTCCCAGTTCACCCACCTGCTCTTTGCGCACGCGCGCACACACACACTTCCCACAGTCCCTCGCGAGCCAATCTCCTCACGCGGCCCTGTTCGGGGAGAGTTGGAGTTGGTGTGGGCGTTGTTTCTTACCACAGCGTGTCTTCCCTGCACTCTTCCGTGCTTGCTGTGATGCACCCGGGCAGAGCGCTGTTGGGAGAACAGCCTAGGCCTCCTGGTCTCGTCTTGCACCCCCGCTCACTCGCACCTGCCCCACAGGCTTTCCCGCCACTCAAGCAGCGCGAGGAGCGACGCAGCCATGCGCATGCTCCGCGGAGGGTCGCGCACTCCCGGTACCGCCCCCGCTGACCTCCCTGTAGGTTGCTGTGGTGAGTCTCGGACACAGGTTCTCCAACTTACACAAACTATCCATACACGCGTGTCACATTTCCTTCACACCCTCCCCCAGTGTCAGGCAGAGGCCCTGAAGTCACACACTCCCCCTTGCAGGCACCCCGGGGGCCGGCGCCACTCCTGTGGGCACGGACAGGGGGCACCAGGCCTCCTCCATCGGTCTCCTTCCCTGGCACGTTGGTTCAGGGCTAAAGCCAGCTCGGCTGAGCAAGAAGACGTCCAGCTGGGTATAGGGCAGTGGGGCAGGGTGTGTAAAGGATTATGTAGGGCTCTGATGGGATGTACAGCTTTTAGGCAGTTAACTAGTGATCACCTGTGAAAGAGAAAGGGTCGCTGGAATTAAACCAAGGACCTGTGCAGTCTGTAGCTGAGTGACAGAGCTCCTGCTAAACGTGCATAGGGCCAAGAGCTGGTTGCCACCCAAAAATACTATAAAAGAGGAAGAATTTGAGCTGCAGTCCAGTAAAGCCCTTGACTCTTGCTGGAAGCTCTCAACCTATGTCAGCCCTTCAGTGCCAAAGGACCCAGGTAAAAATAAACCCCTTGTTAACTCTTCATTCATTGAATTGGACCTAAACTTGCAAGGTGGAACCTTTTCCCGGAGAAGGCTGTCTTCTGGGAACCCTTCAAGCATCCTGGAGAAAAAATATTTTCCATTCCTGACAGAGGAACTGGGCAACACATCACAAAATTGTTAATATGCATCTCATCTATATGGTGAGAATTGGTTTACAAATTATACCATTTACTATAATCGTGATATTCATGTACATTGTAAAACAGTAAATGAAATTTAGAAATGAGATAATGGTGAAATAAGCAATATATTAAAACATTTTGGTAATAGGTGATCGTGATTTCATGTTATTACCTGTATCATAGGTAATAAACATGTAAGGCAGACTTCATCGTTGTCTAGGTTACTTTTACCTTTGTCTCATTGCTGAGACAAAATACCTGACACCCATAATGAAGGAACAAAAGGTTTGTTTAACAGTTTTTGGAGATTTCAGTCCATAATCGGCTGGCTCCAAGGCAGGGTTGCATGACACTGGGGCAATACTTCAAGCCAGTGGCCAGAGCCAAAAGGGGGAAACGAGCCTTTTCTTCCTTGTATTGTACACAGGCCCTTCCACCCCCAGGGCAGGTGTCACACTCACAAAATCTCTGTGCCTTCCTATTGCACAGGATGAGGATATTTTCAAGGTAAGGATCCTGGCTCCCTGCTGGAGTCTTAGTTAAAACTTCTAAACTTCTCAAGTTGATGCAGTATATCAACCATAACACTCATGAATGTATAGTGTCAAATTTTTACCATCAACTTTTTTCCAGACTTGAGTAAATCATTCACCTTGTAATACCCCTGCTGTGCTGATGCCAGTATTGCTAGCTCTGCCATTTTCGTATTGATCTTTGTAGTATTTATATGTAGTTTTGCTTTCTTTGTGAGTGTTAATAATTTAATCCAAATGACCCCTTACCTTAGCACAATAACTGGCAGTATTTCTCAGTATGCTGATAGGAGATGAAAGAGGGAGAAGGCCACTGTTAATTTAGCTGCTCTTTGGAACTTGCCCTTGAAAGAGCAGCGAGCTCTGGGGGGCCAGGAGGACAGTTTAAAGAGTGTAGCCCAACCGCCCTTGCAGATTTTTACTAGGACAGCGCCAACAGATAAGACCCCTACAAAGACACCTTGTGCACTTTCCCAAGAACTGCAGCAACCACAGAGACCAACCTTGTCCCTGTGTTTCACAACTCCTCCCCAAATGCGCCCATTATGTCTTCCTGAGTCACTGTTCTAACCACCCCCCCCCGCTGTGGTTTTCATACATGTAAGCCCCTGACCTTTCCCCCTCGGGATCGCCCTCTGTCTTTGAGACGACCCCTCCATTGTGTCAAATAAACTTCTTCGTGGCAGAGTGTCTCCATCGTCCTGACATGGGTTATGGTCTCCCTGATCTTTCAGCCCTCTTCTCTCAGGACACCTCATTCCTAGTATGTGGGCTTCTGAGATGCCACCAAAACCCACAGCATATTATTCAGCCATAAAGAAGAACAAAATACAGGGAAATGGCTAGATTTTGAGACCGTGAGGTTAAGTGAAATAAGTCAGACATAGGAAGTTAAATATTGCATGGCTTCTCTTACATGAGAAGTCCAAAATATAAATAAAGAGTTAAAAAAAAAAAAACCAGAAAGAGATGATAGAAATAGGGATGCAGAAAGCAGCCAGGCACACAGTGGGAGGGAGGCAGGATCTCACAGTGGAGCCTGTCCAGGCCTGCAGGGCTACAGAAGTCACATGAAGTCACAAGCGGTGCCTCCTTGCTGCTGCTCGTGGGCAGTGACGGAGATACCTACGAAGCAGAATGATAGCAGCTGGCTGTGTGTTTCAGTGCTGAATTGGTTCCTCAGTTCCCTGGCTCTGGAAATTGCTATGGGAGATTGGATGACTATTTCAGATCTAGAAAGCAAAATACCTCTCAATATACCTCAGAAACAAAGATGTCTCCATCAAGTTTATACACACAGCAAGTGCTGTGTTCTTCAGTACCTTTGTCAAAAAATGTACACAGTATTTCCAGTGCCTTCTGCACAGAAGAGAATGTTGAAGTATTTCATATCTTGATCAGGAATTGACTGTTTTTGGTTTTCCTTCGTTGTATGAAGAACCCAAAAGTAAAGATGCAAAGAAAGAAGCATAATTGTGGTTTTAAATTGCATGAATGTGCTACTTGTACTTCAGTGGAAGAACCTTCTGGCACAGGAAGACATAGAAACACAAAATTTGAAACTGGGAAGTGAATATGGACCACTTGCAGAGCTGCTGTGCAATATTTAAGGAACAACTGGGAACCTCTAGGAGGGAAATTATTGGGCTTCAGGAGAGAGACAGACAGTTACAATGCAAGAATAGGAATTTGCATCAGCTACTGAAAAAAGGATGAGGTACAAAGATTACTGAATATTCCAAGTCAAGCTACTTAGTATAGTCATATGAAAAGAACATAAATATAAACTAAAGGAACAACTACAGCAACTTGTTATTAACAAAAAGGATAAAAGAAATAGCCATGGACATTCTAAACTACCAGGGCAGAGCTGATGGAAAAAAAGGGGTCCTGGAGGACTGGTAAAAAAAAGCTAGGAACAGGGGCTGGGGATTTAGCTCAGCGGCATAAGCGCCTGCCTTGCAAGCAGGCAGTCGTGAGTTCAATCCCTGGTACCGATTAAAAAAAAAGCTAGGAACAAAGATGAACTGTATAAAATTCTCTTGAATGATTATGAATACCATCAGAAATAAACCTTACTGGAAAATGCTGAACTTAAGAAGCTTCTTTGCAAATGAAAAAGGAAATGATTTCTTTTCTTTTTCCCCAAAAGAACAAACCTAGAGAAAGAGCAGATGAGAGAACGGGAACTGTTATGTCTGATGTTGAAGAACTGCCGGGGAACTGAGTAGAGAGAGTGTGGGGGAAACCTTCCTGTGAGACAGAGAGAGCTGCTTACAAAGAGCATCAGAAAACATTGGGAAATTTTGAAAATTCACATAGAAAAACTTGACAACCAAGTTTCAAAGGTACATATAGAAGGTTTTAATGACAAAGACGTAATATCACAACAACAGTATGACTGAGAAACTGGAGTTAGAAATTCAACAATGTAAAGAAATGATTAAAAAAAAAAAAAAAGAAAAAAAAAAGAAATGATTAAAACACAGCAACAACTTTTACCGCAGCAGCTTACTACTGCAAGTGATGATGATACCACTTCACTATTATGAGGCTGTTACTTGTTGAAAGGAAAGGAACACCTTAAAGAAGAATAGTCCTTTTTTTTTTTTTTTTTTTTTTTTTTGGTACCAGGGATTGAACTCACGACTGTGGCTTGCAAGACAGGTGCTTATGCCACTGAACTAAATCCCCAGCCCGAGAATGGTCCTTTTTAAAGAGAAAAAAAAAAAAAAAAAAAAAAAGTTTTGAGAGAAAGATGAAGCTTTACAAAAGTGGCTGTTCATCTAGGATTGGAGAGAAAGGCATTTGAAGAAGAGCAAGCCAGTTAGTTAAAGCAAGTTTTTAACTATAACTACCTTTGACCACCGGAACTCAGGAAATGTGAAACTTTTCATTGCCTTCTCAGGAACTGCTAATCAAGACAATCTTACAGTACACTCAAGTCCATAGCAAAAAATAAAATAAAAAATAGTCTCCCTGTGTGTCTAATGGGTCTCCAGTTTACACATCTAAAATCTCTGCCTGCTTCATCTACTCTAGACTCCTGCCAGACTTGTTCCTGTGTATTGGAACATAGTTCAGTTGAAGTGCTGAATATAGCTCCTGAAGAAACGAAACCAAATCAAGTCAGAAGAGAATGTACCTGTCAGACATGGAGTGTGGTGTCCAGGCCTGGATCACAAGGTTACACAGTGGAGGCTCTTTGACCTACACAGATTCTCACAGAAAAAAATGACTTACCTTAGATGTGTGAATGGGAACTTTTTTTCACCAACATATTTAACAAATTTGTTTCATCTGAGTTGAAACAGGGTGTGTCATAAAGGGAGTCATCTCTGATAATTTAAGAATGGTCTGAGTTATTTGTTTGGAATAATCTGTCTTCCCCCAAAGAGCTGGAATGCTAAATCTATTAAAAGGATATTGATTTCCTGTTGTCTGGTTTTGAAGGCCCGAAAGGCTCTCATTCTTTTGTTTTGATTGGTTTTATACTATTTTGTTTTGTATTAATTTATTGTGTTTGAAGGTAAGAACAACTATTTCAAACAAACAAAAAGAAACCACTATGGTAGCCACTGTTAATTTCCTGTTGTCTTGTTTTGAAATCCTGTGTTACTTGCATTGTTTTGCTCTGATCTGCTTTGTTCTGTTTTGTTTTGTTCTGTTTTATGCTCTTTAAAATAAAAAAAGGATATAAAAGCTTTGGATGTGTATTTTTAGTGACAGAAGCATCTGGCTCTGGAAACAGAAGCACTAGAATGAATTTCCTCTCTATAGATATTAAAATAGCACTTTTAGGAAACTCATTATTGTAAATGTTTAATTTTTGTCCTAAATGTAGTTGGCATTGGAAGTTTAGCCTTTACTTGAATGTATACTGTAGGTTTCTAACAAAGCAAGTTCTGTATTTGTTATGTTTAGTGTGATTTTGAAATTATCTCTTTCATGTTTTAAAGTAAAATTTGTATTTTGTACATAAATAGACATGATTATGTTAAGAGGCTTGAAGACTTAAAAATTTCACACAACCATAAATATAGTATTTCATGCCAATAAAATGTTTTTAGTGATTAAATAAAAAGAGCTGCAGAGGTTTTGGAGATGAGGAAGGAGATCTGACAAGGGGAGAATAGAGAAGGGAGGAAGTAAAGGAAACAAAACAATTATCAATATATGATGCACTGTATACATGACCCAGCTGCCCAAAATGAAGGTACTATTATGTATCACATATATACTAGTAAAACTTACTAAGAGACGATAAAAATGGGTTAATACATATTTGTCCCTTCCATTTTCCATGTAAAGTCCAAGTCCTTATGCTTTATTGAGTCTTGGACACTTCTGAGAATGTGAATAAATGTGGGACTTCTTTTAAGAAATGTATTCAAATACATATAAACAAACTTTATCATAAAATTTCAACCATTGTGGACACAAAATCTAATCATGACCCTCTCTAGTTTCAGAACCTCATGTTAGAAGCTGATGTTTTGGGGATATAAATTTTAAGAACTCAAAATAAAATCCATTCAAGATCTGAGAGGAAAAGTTAATGTGCTTTTTTTCCTCTACATTAACCTGAAAATAAATCACTTGGGAGGCAGAGTTACTAGTTTCAAGAATCTGTCCCACAGATGTTTATAATTTCAAATCCAAATTATATAATACCTAGTATATATCTCAACATAATTTTAAAGCTAACTAATTTGAAAACATGTGGTTTGGAGTTTCTTTTTACTTTTCCACATGACAACTCCAACTCCATTATTAAAGATTTGTCCATTAGGGCTTGTTTTGCTTGAGATATGGGTCTTACTTAGTATGTTTTCCAGGCTGGCCTTGAACTCCTTCAGGAGAGCCTCATGTCTCAGCCTCTTGAGTACCTGAGACTACAGACAAACACCAATGAGCCTGGCTCCATCAAGACTGATGACTTTGGGCCAGGGATTTAGTGTAGTGGCATAAGCGCTTGCCTGGCAAGTACTAGATCACAAAAAACCAAAGGACAACTTTAGTGGTATTCGGTAATAACTTTTTTGATATATAATTCACATACTACCTAATTCACTTTTTAAAGTTACACAAGCCAAAAATTTTTAGTGTATTCCACATACATAACTGTCACCACTATAAATTGAGAACCCAAAGGAAATTCTGCAACTGTAAGCAGTCTTTCACCTTATTATCCACCCATGATTCCAGCTTTGTGCAACTACTAATCTACTTTCTGGCCCTGTAGATTTGCCTACCCTCAGTAGTCCATTTATGTGTTTATGCAGGGCAGAATCGTTTATTTTTTTAAAATTTTATTTAAAAGGAAAAAGAGAAAAAACAAAACAAAACAAAGTGGTGTAAGAGTGCAGAATCTTTTGTGAGTGGCTTCTTTCACTAAACAATGGTTCCACGGTTCATCATATTGTGGCATGTATCAGTACTTTTCTTTTTATGGCTGCATAACAGTCCACTGTATGGCCAACCTTATTTTATCTAGTCATCAGGTAATGGGTTGCTCTTAGTATTTGGCTATTATAAGTGATTCAGTCTTTGATACTAACATACATATTTTAGTGCTGACCAAGACCTTAACATTTAACTCATAAAGCAAAAAGTCAAACAGAGGGACTCTTATAGTCAAAATGAAAATACAAATTTGTATTCTAATAATTTTATGTGTTTCAAGATTCAGCTTTTCATATACAACATCACAAAACCTTTTCATGATAGAGAAACTGGATCATTATACCATCACAGAAGAAATCCTTAAAAGCTAGACATTCCCTAGGATCCCTTCTTACACAAAGTTAACAACTTGCCGCTTCCTGTCATCTCACCTTGAGGGAAAAATAAAGATCTGTTTGTAGATATTTTGTATCTTGGGGACATCTCTTCCAAGCATCAAGCACAACTGTGCAGATGAGACTGGACCTTAACCAAATTGAGATGATGAGCTACCCTTGAGATTCTCAGATTCATCTTAAGTGCTTGGCACTGTCATCAATTCCCAGCTATGCTTTGCTTCTTTTAGGTTACAACCTCTGCCCGTTCTTGGGCAGCTTTTCATGTTCACACATAAAACCCATCACTGCTGCCTGTTCCCTGCCTACCTGCATGCCACCTCCAAGACTAAGCTGAAGTTCAGTACAGGTCACATGCTGGTCTAATGCTCCCATGGACTCTTGGTCTGTCAAGGTTTTTCAGGAGGTTCTCAGTGGATGCTTGTCAATACATGATCCATAGTGTGTACATAAGGGTAAGGGGCCAAATGACATTATGACACAGCTGTGATTTTCATTTATGATTTGATAATATATTTCCCCAATCATCAAACTACATGCAAAGCCCAACTTGAAGTGAGGTCTCTCATGAATCATCATAGCATTAAGAAAAATTTATTTACTTATTTACATGATAGGGAGGTTGAGAGGCGTAGGAAATACATCCTAAAGATTTGACCCACAAGAATCATCAAACAGAAGCCTTAAAGAGGAGGATTACTGATCAATTATATCTCTTGATTTTTATTTTGGAATAATTTTATTTGTATTTATCAATTTAATTTCACCAAAATTCTGTGAGTTTTTTCTGACTCCAATATATGAGCCCAACCAAGAAGGCTGAATCACAATTTACTGCTGGGCAGCCCTGCCAGGCTCTGCCATTCTTTCAGAGGAGGGTTTCCCTGGGAAACCAGCTTTTTTAGATAGTTGCAGGGCTCCAGGTGAGGAATATCAGGATTCTGCTGGTAATACTTCTGCAACTTCTCTAGAACTGTGGGCAGCCCAACGGTAGAGGCATAGAACATGGGCCCACCCTTGTGCCGTGGCCAGCCACACCCATGCAAGAAGATCACATCAATGTGCTCTGGACTAGCAGCTATCCCTTCCTCCAGGATCCGGAAGGCTTCATTGATGAGTGCATACAAGCAGCGCTCCAGGATCTCATCCTGCCCAATGATACGCGGTTTGATATGATGGGTCTCTCTGTATTCTGACAGGAATTTGGAAAGCCAGGGGTCAGGTTTGTGAATCCTACCCAATGGCTTGTCATATTTATACCAACCCTGACCAGTCTTCTGGCCAAATCTTCCCAATTCACACAGCATATCAGCAATGGGGCTGTACCTTGCATTGCCTCGCTTTCGGGCAGGAGTTCCTGGAGGCAGCACAGGCCCAGTAAGACCTTGCCCCTTGCGAACTCTCCAGCCCACATCTAAGCCAGTAAGGTCAGAAACTCGAAAGGGCCCCATCTTGAAACCAAATTCTTCCAGTGCGTGATCTATGTCCTCTGGCTTACTGCCATCTTCCAATAAGAAGTAAACCTGTTCAGAATAAGGTCTCAACATGCGATTCACAACAAAACCGTAACAGTTGCCTACAACAACTGTGATCTTTTTAATCTTCTTTGCTAGGTCCATAACAGTGGCAATGGTGGTGGGGGATGTGTGTTGACTGGGAATAACCTCTAATAACTTCATAACATGAGCTGGGAAAGAGAAGTGAGTGCCAATAACCTGCTGAGGGCGATTGGTAGAAGCAGCAATTTCATCCACATCCAGGGCTGAAGTATTGGTGCACAGAAAAGCTTCTGGCTTGCACACAGCTGACAGTTCAGCAAAGACCCGCCTCTTCAGGTTCATGTCCTCAAATACTGCTTCGACGACTAGATCGACACTGGCTAGGTCCTTTATAGATGAACTGAACCTAGGTTTTGGTCCTGACCTTTGCTGGCCACACTGTTGCCTGCTTTTGGATGCTTCTTTCTCCAAGATTGAAGTTATTAACTTTTGTGCAGCTTCTAGCTGCTTTGGGTCTGATTCCACAGCAATCACAGGGATCCCGACCCTTGCAAAAGAAATGGCGATGCCTCGGCCCATTGTTCCCAAGCCTGTAGGTAGAGAGTGAAAAAGAATGATTCAAGGGTACTGGGAACCAGAAAATCACTTACCATAAGAAGCTTCAATGGCAAGATGGCACTTTAAAAATGATTGATTCAAGGTAGGTGCATTCCTAGAATCCCAACACTTTGGGGCTGGAGTATGATGATTGCTGTGAGTTTTTGGGTCAGCCTGGGCTATGAAGTGAAACCCTGTCTTGAAAGCCAAATTTAAAAAAAATTGATTCAAGAACATGAAATGGGTAGAGAAGTGTACTACAGAACCCATAAGAGCAGTGAAATTCTGCAACACAAGACATTGGTGTTAAACTAGAAGATGTTAATGTAAGATAAAGCAAAAAATTCATTCCAAATGTCTAGGTGTAAGAGTGAGACACAAAACCTTAAAAATATGCTAGAAACAATAAACTCTGATGGGAAATGCAGGAGTGAAAAAGCCAGAGTATAAGCAGGTTAAGCATGGGTAAAATATGCCCATAATCTGGAGTCTGATAGTCCTAGAGTCAACACCTTCACACCACTAGAATTTCACTCCCTGTTGAAATGTTTGCATCTCTAGGGGTCTCATCTAAAATGGAAACAGTTCATGGACATGGGTGAAAATCAACAGAGCTAACATGAGTAATAAGTTCAGCAGAACTCAGTGCCTGTGAGCCCTAATTTATGGTGTTAGTTGATGTGCAGATTTGAAGAATCCCATGAATAACCCTGTGTGCTCACCAAGAATACCAACGGAGGAGACAGGTCGTGCAGTAGCTGTTTTCCAGGAGGCTCCAGATGGGGTTGACCACTTAGGCACACTTCTCTCAGCGAAGAAAGCATACTGCAGGGCACCAGCCTGCCTGGATCGCCGAAGGTACTGAAACAGCTCCTCCTCTTTCTTGATGCCCTCTTCATAGGGGAACTGCACAGAGGCCTGGACTGAACGGACACAGGTCTCTGGAGCAAGGCGCCCAGGATACTGTCTCCGCATCTTCTCAAAGGCTTCTCTGAAAATGGCATCCATGTTGGGCAAGCTGGGGACTGGCCTGTTGAGGATTCTGTGAGGTTCTAGAGATTGATCTGAAAAGTTAAGAAAGAGAAGAGCTTTAGTAATGCAACTTACTCTTCCTAGCAAAATAATAACAACGGATTCAGATGCCCATTCTTTTCCACAAAGTCAGTTACAAATCTTAAAGGATGGGGCCCAAGAAAGACTGTTTTGAGTTGTGGGCCCTGGAAGGCTCAATAGAACAGACTTAATGTCAGTCAGTGCATGAAGGACAGCTGATGTTCTGGAAAAGTTGAGGCCACAGATTGAAAAGAAGAGGTGGAAGGGAGAGAAAGAGGGAGAGACAGACAAATATAAATGAGAATAAAATGGAAAAGTAAGCTTGCTTAACTGCATATAATTATTTCTTATTAACATAATCCTGGCATCCAGAAATAAAACCTTGCAGACTGCATGAGCCTTCCAGGACTGCACAAGGCACTTACTTGTTCATACCAGTCCTGGCACCATACTCTGAATATCTAGAGAAGTTTCATCAGAGCACAGTGACGACTGGTCCATCCACCCCTCAATCCATTTCATATCCTTCTCTTGCTGTAGGTATAATAAAAAGATGCTAGTATCTTCCACCTGTGATTGTTTACCACAAAACATATGGAGAATTTTCTCTTTGGGACAAAGGAACAGTTGTTTTAAAACTGTTTCTTCTGTACTTGATCATCTGAAACTTACTGTGATCATGAAATGTTGTGTGTCAAGTCAACTTGAGTGAAGACAACTGTCATGGTTTATGTTTGTGTCCTCCAGGCCTCATGAGTTTGCATTGTTCATATGTGATGGTTCATTGTATAGTGCTTGGATTGATGGTGTTAGTGCTCCATCCACATAGGGGTGGAGCCAGGATGTGATGTAATGGCAGGAAGAAGGTGTGTTTTTCTCTTTGCTGGTTCAAGTTTGCTGTTGGCGGCCACCACGAACTGCAGCCCAGCTATGCCTGCCTACCTGGGAGCCAACTGAGTGTGGACTGAAACCTCCAAAAAGTGTAAGAAATAAACCTTTCCTTTCCCAACTTTGGGCTTCAGGTATTTTGTCTCAGCGACGAGCATAAAGTAACTAAGACAGAAATTTGGTACCGAGAGTGGCGTCGTTTGCTGTGACTAAACCTGGCCATGTTTTTCAAGAGGCTTTGGAAATGGCTTATGGGCGGAGTTTGGAAAGGTTTGGACATGTCGCCTGGATGCATAGAGCTGGAGCAGCTTAGGCTGTTCTGTAGAGGAGATTCTGGTCAGAGCTCAGGAGACCAGAAGGCTGATAATAGAAAGCATCATGGTAAAGACCAGGCTTGGGAGGTTTTTGTTGGAAAGGACTGCATTGGTTGTTGGACTCCACATGATGTGTGTTATGGCTTGGCAGAAAGTTTGTCTGCATTTTGCTCCTGCCCAGAGACTTTGCCTGAGACTGACACAAAGGGCAATGGACTGATTAATCTTGAAAAAGAAATTAAAAAGCAATCGAACATTGAGGCTGTGGCATGGCTATTGTTGGGGGCTTTTAGCCAGCTTTATGTTTCAAATCAGGAGCAAAGAGCCCAGCAGGATAATTTCCAATACTGTGAGTTTGGCCCGAAGGAAGATTCCAGGAAGGGTGTGGATTGTAAAGACAGAGTTGAGATTTTGATTCCTGAAGAGAAACAGAGATAAGAAAGATGGCCCCGGGGCATCCCAGGAAGCAGGTCCCCACCCTGTGCAGCCTCATAGCAAAGATGAAGAGTGCCATGCTCCAGAATGGTGACAGAGGCCACGTGAGGTTCCAGAATGGCGGCAACACAGAGAAGCTTTTCATCACAATCAGGTAGACAGAGCCTTGTGATCCAGGCAACTGACCCCTACAGCCAAGAGAGAGAAAAGCCTGGCTACTGCTTCAGCTAGCAGCAAACCTTGGCGGCATCCACAAGGTGCTGATTTTAGGTGCAAGGAAACTGCACAAATTCTGAGGGTAAGACGGCTTCCACCTCAATTGCAAAGGGCCTGGCTGGCCAAGCAGTGTGCCCCTGAGAGGGCAATTTGTGAAGATGTAAGTGTGAAGCCGAAGGTGCAGTGGAGACCCCAGAAATTTGGAAAAGCCAGGAACGTGGATGATCCAAGGAAAGCTGCAAAAAGCGAGCAGAGAGGATTTAAGAGAAAAGCTGCTGGAGTTGAAATCGCTGGAAGTGCCCTGGGGGTGGAATCACCCAAGGCTTTTGGAACTTGCAACCAGATTGCTTCAGATGCTGAGCTTGGAACTCTAGGACTTAATGTTTGCCCTGCTGGATGTTGGAATTGCTTTGTTTTGAATGCTTTCTATTCTCCTGTTTGTAACTTTTGGAATGGTAATGTTTATCTTGTGCCTTTGCATTTCAGAAATGTTTAACCTTGTTTCTTTTGTACAGGAGCTTACAGTTAAGAGTTTGCCATAGATCTTGGAGGAGACTTGGGACTTGGATTTTTCAGCAATGTTGAAGCTGTTAGGATTTTGGCAACTCTTGGAGGTGGACTAAATGTCTTTTGTATAAAGGATGTACATGAGTCCTGGGGGCCAGGGGTGGAATGTCATGGTTTATGTTTGTGTCCCCCAGGCCTCATGAGTTTGCATTGTTCATATGTGATGGTTCATTGTATAGTGCTTGGATTGATGGTGTTAGTGCTCCACCCACATAGGGGTGGAGCCAGGATGTGATGTAATGGCAGGAAGAAGGTGTGTTTTTCTCTTTGCTGGTTCAAGTTTGCTGTTGGCGGCCACCACGAACTGCAGCCCAGCCATGCCTGCCTACCTGGGAGCCAACTGAGTGTGGACTGAAACCTCCAAAAAGTGTAAGAAATAAACCTTTCCTTTCCCAACTTTGGGCTTCAGGTATTTTGTCTCAGCGACGAGCATAAAGTAACTAAGACAACAACCTAGAAAATGACTTAAACTCTGGGTGTATCTGGATGAGTCACATGTAGACTGCAAATTAAGAAAGGAAGGCCACAAAGGTCTGTCTTCTCCCCAACTCTGGAAACAGTACACTGCCTCCAACCTAGAGTAAGGACAGAGAGAACAACTACAAGGTCCCAGGCCTCAGGCATGTTCCAAGGAAGCTCAACATTGATAAGCACTGAGGCTTTCTATATGACACAGGTCACTTTGCTGTTTTGACATACGTTCTTAAAAATGTCTACAGACAGTAAAAACAAATTACAAAGAGGAATGGATAAAATGAAAATTAAAAGCTGAGGTGACAGCTAGGATTAAAAAGAAATCCAGAAAATCCAAATGAGCAAGACAGAATTTAGAACTGTTAAAAATGGTTAACACAGCCCAGTACAGCAACAGCGCCAGGGTTCATTAGAGACAAAAGCTGAGCATCAGCCTTCTGACCTGAGGCTCTCAGGGGGGCTGTTTCCATGCCCATTCCTTCTGGGTAAGGTGGGCAGAGAGCCCAGATGCTCTTGGTCTTTGAATAGCAGCACCCCACTTCCAGCTCATGCCAGAAACCTGCACATGGGAACCAGAAGTTCTTAGTCCAGGTCAGGGACAGCTGCTGGCCACAGGCAATTGCGAAGGACTAGCATTTTACAGGACCCTCCCTTACCAGTTATGCCAGAGCATTTTTATGTGGCCAAATAATTCTGCTTTGCTTTGCTAAACTGACTATTGCTGTAGCCTAGGAGGCTTTGTATAACAAGAAAATAAAGATAAAGCTTCATAGTTTCTCCATAGATTCTCCAGCATAGTGTTAAATTTGTGGAGAAATCTGAAGCTACAGTACCCCAAATCACACTTGTAGGTCTGTAACCTCACACACTTTCTTCTCACTGATAATGGTTCAAAGTATCAAGTGAAACAGGACCACTGGAAACTCCTTCCCTTATCACCTTTTCTAAAGAAGATGCAGAAAATAAATATCTTAACCACCTTACTCCTTTTATCTTAACTCTTGAGTGGTATGCAAGGGAACAGATAACAGATGAGTTGATAGAATATTTTTACAAATGCAAAAAGGGAATTAAACTTTTTACATACAATTTAAAAACATATCATTTATATACTACAAATGTCATGTGGCTTTTTAACTATGTTATTTCATAATGATATACGAACATCTTTAAGATTGTATGTAGTTTTTGCATGCCACGCGGAAACAGTAAAAAATAGTATCTCCACTCTAATTCTCATTCTTTGTACATCAGAGTGTGATTATTTCTGTATAGTAAATTATCATGAATAGAAACACTATGCCAAAAAATATAAGAACTTTTAAACATCAATACATGATTTCCTAATTGTACTGTACAGGATGGATTAAAAGCAGTAATAGAAGTGATTTAAATTCAACGTTACCATATTATTTTCCTTTTGGTTACTTTGCCAAAATCAGTGACTTTTTTATTTAGAGAGATTTTAAAAAACAGAAAAAAAGGGGTAGAAACAATACAGAATTTCAGAAAAATAAACAGTAATAAATCACTAGTTTATAAGTTACATATTGTCATCTTAGAGATAGTTGTTCAGGTTACAAAATTAAAGCATACACAGTGACATTCAATAATGACACTGCAAACAGTTCTGCTCAATGATCCAACAAAAACTTAGTAATATGGTCATCAGTCCTACACACTTGTTTTTTATCTTAAAAGAGGGTAAGATTAAACATGACAATACGGAACAGAACAGTTCATACGGAAACAATTTAAAGAAACACAGATTTCAAAGCAAGTCTACTGGAGATCTTCACTGTATCTTATTGTCTCTAGTTTTCTTCCAAATAGTTGTCCCCATCTTCACATACATTGAATATATACTGAGCATTATAGAACTAATCAAGGCGTTACAGGATGATGCAGGCTTTTTAGGTCTTCAAGACCTGATTTTGGGGAAGTCAATATTGGCTACCATAATGTCTCTCATTCTCTTCATAGTAGCTGTCTTTATCTTTACGTATGCTGAAACTGAACATAATACACTAGTCTAATATCACTCTGAACAGTGAATAATAGTATTGCTAGATTTTATATCATAATGCGACAGAATTAGCATTGGGTTTCTTAGTGTCTCTTCAGAGTATCTGTTCATTACATCATGTATTATGTAATCTGTTCCTGTAAATAGTTTAGAAATTCTTCCCACGTGTGAATCTCTACATGTATATCTATCCTTTCTGTATTTTAGGGAAAAACAGATCAAAACTAGACAACAAAACAAATTCCTAGAAAAACATGAAATGAAAAAGACATATAAGACACAATATTAGGTAATCTACAGTAGTTACTATGCTTTCTCTTGTTATTTTCAATAGAATTGTCCACATCCTCAGGCATTATATAGTTAAGCATAGCATTACATAGCTATTTTTATAAAAACTTAACTTTGAAGACATTGTAGGGCTTGAAGCAGTTAATAATCAAAACTGGAATGGATATCTTTTGCATCTTGTCATCTTCAGAGTAGTTGCCTCTACTCTTAGACTTGATACTATCAAGCATACCAAATTTGAGTAAAATCAGTCAAAGCAAAATAGCAGTCTAACAAACCAGCTTCAAATAAGATCAGGTCATAGTAAGACAATGTAAGTAATACAAAGTTTCAGTTTAAGTTAATAGGAAATTAAGGATAGTTACCGTGGTTTAACCTGCTATTTTTGGGTTAGCTATCTGTGCCCTCACATCTCATATGAGTAGACTGACCAGAACAAAATATAATCAAACTAAACAGAGTGATAAGACTACTGTGGCTTTTAAATCCTGATACACCTCTAACAATGTCCTCTGCCTTCCTTTTTGAGGCAATTCTTCACCTTCCCCTGTCTCAGGATGCTTTGTATATTTTGGGTCCCACTAGCTCCTTTAGGTTTTAGACTAGGGAGTCAACCTGTTATCTATCTTGAGTGTTGCTGAACCTTTTTACCCCTGAGCTTAATCTTGAGCTGTACTCCTTTACTTACTAAAGCCACAGGGTTTTCCTTCCTTCCAGCTGTGTAGTTCTACACTGCACAAAAGTGTCATAACTTTTTATCCTATCTGCAGCTGCTCGACGAGTTGTCCCTATTTCTCTCTGGTTTCCCATCAGTATAGAATTGTTTTCTCATCTTTGACTCTCAGTTTATTAACCTTCTTTCAGATTGAGTGTATTTCCTATTCAGCATATCTCAATGGATCCTGCCTCCTAATCTACTCTGCCTGTGTTTCTTTTTTGTTAGTGTATCAAGGCTATCTATATTAAAGATTATAGCTTAACAGACTGCCTCATCTCTGCTGTTCTATTCTTCTGCTATCATTTGTCCACTTTATTCCTTCATCCCACTGTCTGTCCCGTTCATTGAGGCCTATCTACCTCTTTTACTGGAATCCTGGTATTTTTTTCCTCTCTCTCTCTGGAATGTCCTCCAGTATTTTTTGTAGGTTTGGGTTGGTGGCCATGAACTCCCACAGTTCCTCCTTGTCTTGGAAATATCTTGTTTTTCCATTAATTTTGAGAGAGATTTTTTCCCAGTACATCAGTCTTGGTTGGAGGTTATTTTCTTTCAGGGCTTGGACTATTTCCTCCCAGGCTTTTCTCAATTTGAGAGTTTGTGTTGATAAGTCTGTCGTTATTTTGATGATTTGTCCTTTGTAGATGATCTGCTTCTTTTCTCTGGCTGCTTTTAATATTCTGTTCTTGTGGTGGATTTCTGGAATTTTGATTATTATATGTCTGGGTGTAGATCTATTTTGGTTGTAGGTGGCTGGAGTTCTGTATGCCTCATTTATCTGGATATCATTTCTTTTTCCTATGCTTCAGAAGTTTCCTTTAATTATATCTGTGAATAGTCTTTGTAGTTCATTTGTAGTTACTCCTGCTTCTTTGCTCATGTTTTTTATTCTTAAGTTATAAATCCTCTTTTCATCTTCTAGTCTTTGAATTGTTTCTTCCTGGTTCCTTGTTATTTTTAAGAGATCTTTTCTTTCATGATCACATATCATAAATCTCTCTTCAAGTTTCAAAAGGTTAACTTTAGTTTCTGTCAAGGCATTTTGCCAGCTTTCAATGGAGTTTTTAGTTTCCTGGTAATCTCTTTGGATCTGTTTCATGTATTCCAGATTTTGTTTATATTTTTCATCAAAGGTTTCTCTTCCTTTTCTGGGTTCCTCCATTTTTCCATATGTGTTCTCTTGGGAGGGGCTTATCATTTCTTTAATTAATCTTTTTATATCTTGCCTCACTTGGATCAGAAGTACAGATTTAAATTCGTCTATGAGGTCATGAAGGTATTTCTTTATGTCCGCTGATGCTGTGTCTAATATTGCATTAATACTGCACTGGTTTTCTTCTGTATTTACCTCTCCTGGGCTTATTTTCCCAGGGTCAGTGGCTGAGGTTTTTTTTTTTATTTCTATCTCTTGTCATATTTCTGGTTTCTTTCAGACAGGTGTGTCATGGGGGTCTCTGGCCCTCTCTGTATTATGTAGGGTCTTTGCGAAGCATGCTGACTGGGGTTTTGCTGCCCTCCCCAATTTGCTGTTATCTGAGGTACATGCAGGGACGCAGGGACGGTGCAGGCTAGCCTCTAGCCTCTGAACCAGTCGACTGGCAATTCCCTTCAGGGACTTAGGCTGTACCTTGTGGATGTCACAGAGTTGTGACCTTTTTGTCCCTGGCTACTGGGTCCCAACCAGAGGCGTAGCTCAGCCCTAGCAGATTCCACCAGTCTGCTCTGCACCAGGGGTGGCCAACTGATGCCACCACGGCGCAGGGCTCTGCCCAACTCCAAAATGTCCTCTAGCCAGCAACAGCAGCTGTGGGACCCAATCCCCTGCATTCACGGGGAATCAATGCAGTTCTCCATCTTGGCTCCAGTCCACACTACATCACATCCTCCCACCAAGGGCTCAGGACTCAATTCCCATTATCAGTGGCCATGGCTTCAGCTCGACCTTGTATCCCTGACTCCATGGCACTCCCAGCACAGCGAGGCCGGGTCTCAGTGAGCAGGGTTCCAGCCCTCCACTAACATTTTTCCTTCCTTCGCAGAGGTAGATTCTAGCTTAATGTGGTTTTTCCGCATCTAGATCAGCCTCCTGCCTTTTCAGAAAACTGCGCAGCACCCAGCTTTGGCGCCCAGGCACATGGTCCTCTCTGTGACCTCCTCCAGCATGGCCAGGCGGTTCTGGCTGCCCCATGGGGCCCCAGGACCCAATTTCCAGTACTCACCAAGAGCCAATAAAGTTCTCCACCTTGGCTCCACTCCAAACTGCGCCAGGTCCTCCTGTCAAGGGCCCCAGACTCATTGACTCCTGTTATTGGCAGCTGCTGGCTTCAGCACGACTTTGGATCGTCTGACTCCAGAGCATGCCCAGCACAGGGCGGATCCAGTCTCAGTGAGCGTGTTGGGTTCAGCCCTCCACCCATGCTTTTCCTTCCTCTTCCTAGTTTTATTTTTCCCTTTGGTTTCCTCCTGGCTTAATAAGAATCATTCTCCAATTGTCTGGCCCTTTCCATGTTGTCAAATTCTAGCATCTGAGCTGTTTTCCCCCTGCAGAGGTCTCTATCCAGCTTCCTATCAAGTTGCCATTTTTTCCCTCAAGATCAGTGACTTTTAAATGATGGTTTCTTCACTGATGAAGTTTAAAAGCATTTCAGAGTTAAGTGTACTTCCTTTATATCCCAACAATGACATTCTAAGGTACTTATCCAAGAGAAAAGATTACACATGACTAGAAAGACTTATGAGGGTCCAGAGTAGACACAAATAATGTCCGTCAGCTGATAAAGATACTGGTATTCTCCCCTACTATGCAATACATTTCTATAGTAAAAGTAACTTTGAAACATACAAGGATTTGGGTGAATTGCAGAAACATTATGCTAAGTGAAAGAAACCAGACAGAAATGACAGCATACCAGTACTATATGTATGATTCCATTCACACGAAATTTTAGAAAAACGTAAAAAACTGCAGTGATGGAAAAGCAGGTCAGTGGTTGCCTACCAGCAAGATCTAAAGGGATCCTCCTACAAAGAGGCATAAGAACACTTTTGTGGGTGATCATTTGTGGCAGTGGTTACACTTCTATAAATCACCAGCTGACCAGCACCATATTCAGAACAGCTATGGAGTTTCTTGTGAATCATTACAGAAATATTTTGTGCATACAGAAAGTTACAAGTAGCCATTCCTTACTATCTACATCCTGTTCCATCCTTCCCTGTTTATTTATATCAACAGCAAACCAGCAAATACAATGCTTTTTCAAAAATTTAGTTATATATATATATACCATATCAGTACACTCATTTTTAAATTGTAACATAATCTGTCACATAGATATTTTTTTTTGTACCAGGGATCAAATCCACAATCTCATACTTGCCAGGCAGGTGCTTGTGCTGCTGAGCTAAATCCCCAGCCCTCAGTGAGTTCCTTATTAAAATGTACATTTAGCTTGTTCTTAACCATGTGCTATTCATTTATTATCTTCTCACCTAAAATTTTCTGGGTGAATTTGATTGCCTCTTCGAGTGGGTCTGAGTTCACAACTTCATCCAAAATACCCAATTTGAGTGCTTCTTCTGCCAAAATGTATCTTCCTAAAACAAGATAAAATAAATCATAAAACAGTGTGAAATTAAAGTGACAGCATTCCTTTTTCTAATAGAGAGAGTTGTCTTTCCCGGATATAAGCATTTCATATTAAGTGAATAAAGACCACCTTGACTACTCAAGTGGAAACATTACCACAGACATAGCCAAAAAACTATAAATTCAAGCTTCAGTTCTACTTTTTAATTTGCTTAACCATAGGAAACTGTATTAGGACTATACTTTTCTTCATTGACAAATTAGAATAATTGTTTATCTCAGTAATTTGGAATATAAATGAAAATAGTATTATCTCCTTATATCTGGTAAGTCCCTATAGAAGCACTTTAATATCTTATAAATTTCTATGTAACATAAGAGATAGTTGATTTCAGATATTACTAGTAATAGAAATGTTGGCAGCAGGGGAGCAGCAATCTGGCTTACCTTGTGTCTGCCACACACTAGAGGCTACAGTGATTAACAAATAACCTTGTCCCCAAAGATAGACACAGCTGAGTGGGTGGAGAAAAAGGTACCAATTAAATTGACAGTATATAAGGTGTAATACAAATCACGCATGACAAATAAGGTGGTTTTCTGCCATTGTTTCAGCTACTTAGCACCTCACTCTTTCCTGGTGAGATCTCTGTTGTGTGAGCTTTAGAGCCCTGATTCCTGTAGGGAAGTTAAAAAGGAAACAGAGATGATTAGACAATTGGTCTTTCAGTTATGTGACTCAAGACCCCATGTTGGTGAATTCAATGCTCTGATGAGGATTCTTAGTGATACTAAGCCTCTGCAACAATTTAAATCTCATGCCAGATGGCAACATCTGGTGTGTCTAGTGGTGGTGGCACTTGAAGCTACCACCCTGGAATGTCACCTTGAGGGGCTTGCTGAAACTCAATGAGCATTTGCATCACTCCCAAATTATCTAGGCCAATTACTATTCATTATCTGGAATTTGATCAGCAAATTCTGATGTAGGGGTTAGGGTCATTAATGGTATCTTCCCACAGGGTCAGAAATTGACACATTTCTTGGCTCTCTTGCCTGCAAAAGCCTGCCTTCTGAAAAGTAATCACCAAATCAGTCTTGTTAACAATAATTTCAGTGTCTTCATGACTCTTACACAGTGTTTTGGATGTCATCTTTGGGATCAAACCTCTATTCTTGGTTCTCAGAAATCCTGCTGACATTCAAAAGTTAGGGCAAAAGAGCTACATTTTGCCTATTTGTGATACCTATCTGAAATGAACATTAAAAAAGAATCTTTATCTGGTTGGTTATATATATATTTCCAACCTGAATCACCAAGATGTGCTTTTTGTTCCAGTATTGAGCATTAAACCCAGGGCCTCACACTTGAAAAACAGTGTTTTTTTGTTTTTTGATTTCTAGTGTCCCTGGACTATAGTCTGATAATATGCATTGTATAATTTCATTTCTTTTACTTTTATTTAAGTTTGCTTTATTTGGTCTGTCTTGGAGAAAGTTCCATGAGAAGAATGTGTATTCTGTTGTTGGGTGGAACAGTATTATTTTAGAAAACAGGTTTTTTTAATGCCATTTGTGCTATCTTCTGATTTTTTACTAATTCCAGTTAATCTTAGATTCATTTTGTTTGTATCATCTAGGAGCTATTTCATCCATTTTCATGTTCTCTTGTTGTATTTAAGTTATCTTTTATTAATTGGTTACCAACAAGAGCCCCATATTCTACTGCTGACACTGTTTTCAAATTGATCACTTCTGCTGCTCATACTCTCAGCAGGTTTTTACTCTCAGAATTGCTATTTGAGTGCTTTTTATAGACTAATTCTTTTCTATGCTCCTCATTCATGTTTTGTTTATCTCTGATAACTTTTAATTAGTGTCTTCTATAGACTCACTGATCAATTTGCTTATTTGGCTCAATATCTGTTTACTTTATCTTCTGTAGGCTAGCCAAATGCCTTACTGATCTCTCTTGTGATGTCTCCTGATATTATTTCAAATAATTTGGGCATGTGATTAACTTTCTATCTCTTTAGTACCCCATGGATTAGCTTTCAGGAAGTTGGTAGTTTTAGGAGGGATTGGTTGGCTTGTCTTCTCATGTTTCTGTTTATTTGTTGGTTTGTTGTTTTTGTGTTGAGGCTTGCTGGCTTATTTTTGTGGAAAGCCTGGCTTCTAGTACACAAACCTCTTTGGTAAATGTCTACTGTTCCGTAGTGTTGTCTGGGTGTGACTAACTGTTGGCCTTTGCCTCTATCCCAGGATCCAATCACCTCTGTTTACTCAAAATGGGAAGTTGCAGTATCCAGTTGTCTAGGAACGAGCTACAGTATTATTAATGATCCAAAGGAAATGCAGATAGTGGATTCTAAGAAAACCAATTAATAGCAATGGCTATGTCACATTGGCTATAATAATAATATTGACATCAGTTGTAGTATCAACTGCAAACCAAGTACTGACAAATCCTAAAATCAATGATGTACCACACTTAACCACCAAAAAGGTATCTATAATTATAGTGTGATCATTAAGACAAACCAAATATCGAGCTACTTTTTAAATATCTACTAAATAGAACAACTTTACCTTTGCTAATAATAGAATAATATTCAGTAGTAAGAAAGTGAAATTAACTATTTCTCTATAGATTTTTTTGGTTTGGTTTGGGTTTTTAGAGACTGGGTCTCGCTGTGTAGTGCAAGATCTCACTATGTGTTGTACTAAAATGCTAAAAAACTAAAATAGTTAAAAAGATAATTATTAGCAAAAATAGTTAAAAAGATAGTTATTAGCAGTATTGTCCTCCTATTTTGTGCTCATTACCCTAGCACCAACCACATAGTTATAGATTAACTGACTGAGTGCTGTCTGTATCCATCATCCCGGAGTAACCTGTTTGCTGTGTCAACCTTTGTTTCCTTTGTAAGAGACAAATGATGCTGTGTCTATCATTGTGCCCTTTGTGACAGACAAATGTTCCTGGAATTGGTAGACCAAGGGCTATGAATTGGCTAACCACCCACTGTGCTTACCATGTCACTGTAATTGGATATAATTTGTACCTTGAGTTTTGATGAAAATCAATAGTTTTAGTACTCCTTCCATCTACTTGATAGGATTTATAATATTCCCTCACTTAAGAGAACAAAGCTATTTTTAATGCATATAGACAGATTATTTTCTAATTTGTCTCATTTACAACAGATTTTTTAAATTATATCTTCTGTTTCAAAACGTATAGGTTACTATCAGCAATACTGGAACATTGTAGTTTTAGGACCCTTTTGCTTCTCACACTGATCTAGACAGTTGCTAGCAAGGTTCACACTGACCTGAGGTTATTAAGTCAAGTGCAGCAGGAACTCCAATGAGTCTGGGGAGAAGCTGAGTTCCTCTTGCACCAGGAAGAATCCCTAGCGTGACTTCTGGGAAACCAATTTGAGCCTATCAGAGAAATTGAAAGCAGAAAGGCCATTATAGGGAGATAGTACCATACCACTGCAGACTAGAATCCTCTAAAACTTTCTCTACCCTCCAAAAGCATTGTTTGGTTGAATTCCCTTGTATGCATATACCATATTTTGTCTATACATTTTCCAGTTGATAGATGTTTGTCTAGGATGTACAGAGAATTTTCACAAAAGCAAAAGAACAGCTAACTAAAATTAAGATTCAATATACATGTCTCTAAGGAAGATACACAAATGATTAATGAGCACATGAAAATATACTCAATATCATGAGACATCAAGGGACTGCAAGTCTAAGCCACAACGACAGATAATACCACATCTACTGGAATGAATATAATTTTTAAAAAGGAGAAAATAACAAGTGATGGAAAGGGTGTGGAAAAGAAAAATCTCATACAATGCCAGTGGGAGTGTAAAATGATGCAGACAACTTGGAAAAACAATTTGGCAACTCCTCAAAGGTTGAAATACAGAATTACCATGTATTCCAGGAGACCACTTTGGTTAAACCCAAAAACAATTAAAACAAATGTCCAAAAAAATCTTATATGCAAATTTTCAGAGCACTGTCGTTCAGAAAAGCTAAAAAAGTAGAAACAACACAAACATCTATCAACTGAAAAATGTATAAACAAAATGTTATATGCATACAAGGGGATTATTCAGCAATGGAAAAGAATAATGAACTGATTCATGTTAGGATATATATGATAAGGAAAAGAAGCCCATCATTCATATGAAATATGCAGTGAAATGAAATATGAACTAAGCCAGTCACTCATACAAAATCTATTCATATAAAAAACGTGGATAGGTAAATCTATTAATACAGAAAGTAAATTCGTGGTTGCCTACCATTGGAGGAGAAGAATGGGAGTTACTGAAAAATGACATGAAGTTTTTTGGGGGTTGATGAGTAATTCCAGAATTGATGCAGTAATTGTTGTACAACTGTTACCACTTGTGTCTGGATGTACCTCCTGCCCAAAGCTTCCTGTGGTCAGAGGTGACTGGGTCTCGAGTATGTGACACAAGATTGATTCATGGTGGAATGCTAACTAGGGTCAAGGGCACGAAGACCAAGTGTGAGTGCTACTTGCCCTAAGCAACCCGGATAAGATAAAAAGAGCTGTGGTGAACCCTTATTGCTTGACTACCTTCTGTCCACCATGAAGTGTTTTTCCTCGTGGTGCCTGCCTGCCATGCCACCCTACCGTGCAGCCAGCTGACTGAAACCTCTACAAACTGTGAGCCAAATAAACCTTTCCTCATTTAACTTTAGGTGTCAGGTATTTTGTTTCAGCCATGAAAGAAAAATAACTAAGGAAAAAACTTGGTGAACGTACTTTTCAATGGCAGTGATATATTTTTTAAATGGGTGAATTGTATGGTAGGTAAATTATTACACAAAAAAGCTCAGAAGCAGGAAAAAAGGCCAGGTCATACCTCAGTCCTGACAAGACGGGGAGCTGAGTTCTTAGCACATTCCCTTTCCTGCCATTTAAAAGTGGCCAAAGCTCTGCTGCTTATTTACAATTTCAAGAGTGGAAAGAAGCAGCAGCTACTTACATGCAGACTGCCACATACTCAGACTGCTGTGACAGCTCCAAAATAGCTTGCATATTTATCTCAGCATGTCTCATCAGAGCTTATCCTAAGTCAATCAGCATGTGCATTCCTCACTGCTCTTCCCTCTTCCTTGACTTACTGCTCATATCTCCACTCACTCCTCAAAAGGTCATAGTGAGAAGGACACAGAAGAGGCACACATGGGACATATGTGTGTCTTTATAAATGTTTACAAGCATTAAAACACCAGAAGCAAATAATTAAATACCTTACAGTACAAGTTGAGTATCTCTTACTTGGACTGCTTGCAACTGGAATTTTTTTTTTAAGTTTTGGAATAATTGAATATACTCAAATGAGATTTCTTGAGAGTGACACCCAAGTCAGCAGTATATTCATTTATGTTTCATATGCACTTTATGCCAGAAGGTCATTTTATACAATATTTTGAGTATGCTTGTCTTTTGATTTTTACCCATCATGAGACGTCAGGTGTGCAATTTTCTCCTTGTGGTGACAAGTCCACACTTAAAAAGTTTTGGAGTTTGGAGCATTTTGAATTTTGAATTTTTGTACTAGGGATCCTCAGCCTTTATTCATGAAGTTTGAATGAAAATATGGTGAATGTTTAATTTTTTAAAAAATTAATATAGTAAAAGATACATTACCATTAGTTCCTCTCAAAATTGTCCCCCTCACTTTGAACACACATACCCCATCATGTTTGTCACTTGTTAATCAGAAAGTTAACCATTTACAATAATCATCTCTGATGTTTATGACTGCATTTAGAGCTTGCCTTATAGAAAAGCAGACCCCACCTGGAGGTCAGCCATTACCTCTGCGTGCGCAATCCTGTAGTGACAGCCCAGCGCCAGCTCCAGTCCCCCTCCTAAGGCAACACCTTGGATAGCGGCCACCAAAGGCTTCTTATATCTCTGCATTTCATCTACTGCAGATCCCAGTCCTTCTGCAGAGGACATAGGAGTGCTGAAGCTATGGATGTCTGCACCTAAAGGTTGCAGAGACAAGGAGGGAAGAGTTTTGAGAAAGACTTGGGCTTTCACGTTAATGTGAAGGAATCTGGTCACAATCTAGATGGCTCAGACCCCTTGGGTCCCTGAAGACACAAGAAAAGAACTATTCTGAGAATTAGAGAACTAAATAAAAGGACAGTCTTCATATCTTTACCAGAAATCCTGTAACCTTCAAAGATCTGTCTTTCCATGCAGTAGGTAGCAACTCTTATCTAGAGGCAAACTTAAAAGCACAGAGGAACAGTCCTTAGCCAAAGATGATCATTTTGACATTGATTTGGCCCCTCTCATGGTTTAAACAATCCTGTTCACAGCAACTTAAACCCATATCTTTGCTAAGAGAACTCATAACAATATAAAATTTATATAATATAAAATTATATTTGTCATTTATGTGTTAATCAACTAGCTTAGAATTAGCCCTTGATGGGTTTTTATGATTAACAAAAATAAAAATATTTCCTGTGTATTCTCATAAAAATAACACCAGTACTCCAAAAAATTTGACAGGTACACAAAATTTAAAAGTACATGAGTACACTCAAACCGTTACACAGAAATAATATAATACTTTGGTGAATTCTTAGTTTTTCCCCATGTATATATTTTTTACAATCTTGAGTAAGGTTTTGTCTCAGTACCTATCTTAAATGGATGACATGGGAATTAAATAAAAAATTAATACATATTTTTAATATTGACAGCATACCATAAAATATTATTTTCATGACATTACATGAAGTGACTTTCTTTTTTTTTTTTTTTTCCTTTTGGTACCAGGGATTGAACTCACTACCTTGCACTTGCCAGAGAGGCGCTTACCCCACTGAGCTAAATCCCCAGCCCTGACTTTTTTTTCTTATATTATTATCTCTTACTTGAAATCAGTAAGCTTCACACAGGTTTAAAAATTAATCCATGTTTAGCCTATTTACTTATTTCTTTTTGCATTCCTTTTAATCTAGGAACTATACTTTTTCTCACCTACCTATCATATTTCACTTTCTAGTTCAGTATTTTGTTTCTAAGATTCCTTTTGGCTCTAGAGAAACCAGATCAACTGCAATTTGAGCCTTGGACTTATTATTCCTGTACCTTTAGACTGAGATAGTTTTTCATAAATAGGATTAATTAATGTTATTGGATAAATACATCAGGCACTTGCTAAGTTATCTAATATGTTGTCTCATTTCATTTTTATAAAACCTAGGTTGAATCTTATAACAATCCTCATTTTACAGATTGGAATTAAGGCTTTGTGATATTAAATTACTAGTTAAATATGATTAATAACTGACAGATTAAGATTTGTACTCAAGTAGTTTGGGTACAAAGCTCAATTATATTCTGTTTTACAGTCTTCTACTTATCACATAACTTTAGTATTAATGTCCCAATTTGAAAGAAATCAAGGCACACAGAAGGGTGTAGTGGTTTCACCTTTTAATTATTTACAGCATAGAGAAATTCAATTAGATTGTATTTATTTTACTGATATATCCAGGAAAATTGCTAGATTCTCTTACAATTGTGACTTTATTTGGATATAGAGTTTTGCAAATGTAATTTAGTTAAGTCATATTGGATCTGCGTGGGTCTATATAACACCAGGAAATCAGGAGATAGACATGGAGGAAGAAAGGTCAGGTAAAGACAGATGCAGGGATTGCAGGGGAGAGCCAAGGCTTGCTAGAAGCACAGGAGACCAGGAAGGATTCTTTCCTAAAGTCTTGAGAAAGCCTAGACACATTGTCATCTTGATGCAAACATGCAGCTTTTAGAGCTGTAAGACCTTCTATAGTTTTACAACAAGCAGCTTGTGGAATTATTACAGTAGACCTGCGAAATTAATATTAGGGACTGCTTCCTCTCTTTTGATTTTAACATTTCTGTTAATTGCAAAATATTTTCGGGGGCTGGGGATTTAGCTCAGCGGCATAAACACCTGCCTTGTAAGCAGGCAGTTGTGAGTTCGATCCCTGGTACCGATAAAAACAAAAAAGACAAAAAAAAAATTTTTTTTCTTTGATTATACAGGAGAGATTTTCCAGTTAAATCATCTGCGTCTGGAATCTATAAGATTTTTAATTATTGATTGCATTTCTTTAATAGCTATAGAAAAATTTGTACTTCTTTTTTTTTTTTTCTTCCCTTGAGACAGGGTCTCACTATGCAGTCCAGGCTGGCTCTGAACTTGCTGTGCATCCCAGGCTGATCTCAATCTTGCAGCAATCGCACCTTAGCTCCCAGGTACTGGGATTATAGGTGTGTGCCACCATATCCGGTTTTCTATTTCTTCTTGAGTCAGTTTTGTTCAGTTGTATTTGTCTCCTGGTTCATAACATTTTCACCATATTTTTTAGTGGCAGCATTGTACACAGTAATAATTTTTGGTAGCTTCTTATATGCACTGTTAGTTCTTTGTTATTTACTTTAATCTTTCCATAAGTTTGCCAATTTTATCAACCTCTTCAAAGAACTAACTTTAATCCTGCTGCTCTTCTTGATGTACATTTGTTTTCTGTCATTAATTTCCCTTCATTATGTGTTTCCTTATATATTTTTTGGGTATATTTTACTTTTGGGTTTTTTTTTTTTTTGCCAATTATATCATATAGATGCTTAGCTCATTTTCAGCCTTTTTTCTTTTTTAGTATAGTCCTTTAAAGCTCTACATTTCCTGGTAAATTTTATTTAATTTCATCATCCTTGAGTTTCATATTTTGTGTTCATTGTCATTGAGTTCCAAATATTTTCTAAAGCCATTATGATTTCTGTTCTGATTCAGAGGCTAAAATATGAATTTGCTTTATAAACACATGAGGATTTCCAGTTATATTTTTCTTTAGATTTCTAGTTTAATTGCATTGGCTGGAAATATATTCTAAATGAAGTTTATTAGGACAAGCTTTTTATTTCCCTGTGGTATTGGGGACAGAACCAGGGCCTTGCGTACACTGATCACATACTATACCAATGAGCTCACCCGAAACGCAGCACAAGCTTTTACCTCCCAGCATCTGTTCAGGTTTTCTAAATGTTACAGATGTATCTGAGAAGAATATGTATTTTCCAAATCTAGGGTGTGCCACTCTGGATAATCCCAGTAATAGTTTGATAATTTCTAATTCTTTTCTAGAAAAATACAGTGGTACTTCCATTCACAAAATTAATTCTACAATTCTGGAGAAGACAGCCACGGCTGTGTTCTTCACCAAATGTTCATGAACAGAGGCAAAATTTTGCCAAATGCTTCTATTTGCCAACCAATTGTTCACAAACAGATGTGTCCCCGAAGTATTACTATCATCTTTTTTTTAGTCCATGAATCTAATTACATTCTATTTTTTACCTCTTTTTTACAAAAAAAAAAAAAAAAAAAAGTTTCCCCATAAGTTTGTGTAATCAACCTTAATGTTCCAAACTACTTTCTTTTTTTGTCTTTTTCATTTTTATCGGTACCAGGGATCGAACTGACAACTGCCCGCTTGCAAGGCAGGTGCTTATGCCGCTGAGCTAAATCCCCAGATCCCCAAACTACTTTCATAGTTGGTTAATCTTTGGAGCATTGTTTAGTCTCTCAAGCTCAGCCTTTGACCTGTTAATGAAGGTGTAGGATTTACTGATGATCAAAATAGCGTGTGCCACATTTATTAGTAATAAATGAATAACCTACACAGTACTACCTATAGCAGGCAAGATAAATGCTGATTATTATAGAGGTCACCATTTTTATATTTATTGATCTGAGTCCAACAGCTGATTCTTCTCAAGCTACATTAACAGACATGACTACATACCTCTGGCTGCACACCAAGCTGTGAGACGTGGAGGAGACAGGCAGAGCAAGTCTATGCCACAGGTTTTGAAATCATCAAACCTGGCACTAACTACTGGGCAAAGGCCAACCCAATACAAAACAGATGAAGGCCAAAGTGCTCTTTGAACCTCTCTTGTGAGGGATGCACTCCTTTCTCCACAAGGGGTCTCATCTCCAGTCTCCTGCCATATCCAATCCCCATACTATGATAACCCACAGGAACAGCTAGTGCAGTACCGATCTCAGTGTGTGGCTGGATTCTAGAGTCAGTGGGAGAGGGTTAGACACTGGTTACCTGCACAAAAGTTGCCAGTTACTCCCTAAATCACAATGCCTTTTATGGTATTGTCCAATGCAGCTTTCTTTAGTCCTTCTCTTATTCCATGGATCATAGACAAACTAAAAGAAATTCATGAATCAAGTTAGTCAGAGTTAAGTTTCTATCATCTCAGAGTTTTACCTTTCTTAAAAATGAAAAACTGAACAATACGTAGTGTATAAAGACTGTAGATGCTTACCATTAAAGTTTTTATTCATTTGTTCAACAAATGTATCCAGTATGTGTGAAACATCGAATTGATTAAATAAACCCACCAAAGGAATGTTATTTTCCTGCACTCTGCTTTAATTTTGAACACTTAGAATCTGTACAAATCAATTTTAAAATACTATTATACACCTCTTATGTACAATGCAAGAAGTTACTTGATAAATGAACACAACTATCAAGGAAGGTAATGCAGATGAGTGTTGTAGTACAGGTATAGAGGATCAGTGGCAAAATACAAGGAAAGTAGAGGAGAAATAGTCTATGAGGTGTGACAGGCTACTAGTTAACTCACGTATTCCTCCCTCTCACCTTCTTCAAAGTATTAAAGTACCTAGTTTGATTTTAACTGGCTATACTGTATCCCAAATAAGGACTCTATTTCTGTCTACTTTCAAATAAAGTTGATCCAAGGCTATGGGTGCTGGCCAATGGAATGGAAACATATTTGATATTTGCAAATACTCTTTTGAGAAGAGCCCTCAAAAGCCTGGATGTGCTTTTGCCTTTTTCCTTCCGTCCTAGTTGAGGCAGAAATGCAGACATGATAGCTAGACTGAGAGGAGCCATCTTGGACCACAAGGTAGAAGTCATGTATTCAGGTGGCAAAGCACAAGAAAGACTTAATTGAGGTCACTGATGACAGTAGAGCAGCCCTTCCATTCCAGGACACTGATGTTAGGGGAATGAATGTTAACTTCTGTTTGATGCATTATTCCCCTGGGGAAGTTGTTTGTTTTCTTGGGTTCTTTCTCTCTCTCTTTTTTTCTTTCTCTTTCTCTCTCTCTCTCTCTCTCTCTCTCTCTCTCTCTCTCTCTCTCTTTCTTTCTTTTCTCTCTCTCTCTCTTTCTTTCTTTCTTTCTTTTCTACTGACCTCAAACTCAGATCCTTGCACTTGCCAGGCAGGTGCTATGCCACTATAGCACTATACCTCCGGCTTGTTTTTTGTTTTTGTCACTAACAGTCAAACTTAATCCTGCCTAAATTAGGAGATAAAGGCAAGTACAGGAAGAAGAAAACGTCTTCTACAGTAGATTTTGCCGTATTTCAGTATGTGAGGGTTTCAGCCACAAAAGAGATGACTAAAGGCAGAAATCAAATATGTCTACAAAGAGAAATAGAGAGCTGAGGGCAGTTTCTCTATGTCTTCATTTATGAAGCAGGATTCCAAGCAGCAAGCAAACTCAAGTCAAAAAGACAAAAGGAAAGGAATTTCTAAGAAGCAGGGAAGTAATAGGAACAAGGGTGGACAAAGGAGAATTTAAGAAAACCAGTGAAGAAGCTGAGCCTGGTGTGCATGCATATAATTCCAGCACTTGAAAGGCTGAGGCAGGAAACCTGCTGCCAATTTGAGACCAGCCTGAGAGAGTGAGTTCAAGGCCAGCCCAAACTACGTAGGGAGAGCCTGTCTGACAAGAGAAAAGAACAAGACAAGATCAGTAAAGGCATGTTTAAGGGAAAAATGATATAAGCAATACAGTGGAGCCAAGCATATCAGTCCTCTTCCCCTCCTAGAGTTTGGTCAGTACCCTAGGCCAGTTATCCTTCCACTGTTTTAAGAGGTAAGAAATAAAGCAACGAAAACTCAGGAAGTCCTTGGAGCTCTATGTAAGAGCACCTAAGAGGCCCCAGGCTGGGTACACTTCCTTTAAAAATCTAAAAGCCTGACGATACACATGTGTTTTTTCCATACCACTTTTCTATGTTGTACTGTGTTCACCTGATATCACTTTCCTGTTTGTACCACCTTTTTTGTTTCTGCTGGCACAGACTTGTCCTGAACACATCTTCTCATGATCTTCAGTAAACAAGCCTGCTTTTCCTTTGTCATTGAGTGTACATTTACACTTCATTGCTTGCTGCATACAAGAGGCTGGGATCTTTTGGACGCACCACACAGTAAGGGAAGCAGACTGCAGTCAGTTTTGCCTTGGAACTCTGAGTCTTCTAGAGTAAATCTCAGTTCTTTAGCATATGGGGTAAAAACCATTGTAAAATAAAACAAGGACAAACTACTATAAAAGCCACCTTGCTAAGATCCAGAAACCAAGACACAAACTCTCAGAAAATAAAGGAAACACTTGTGCTGTGCATGGCAATTCCCTTTCACCTACCCACTTTTCACATTTTAACCTGCAGAAAATCAAACAAGACCTTTTGCTTTCAACTGGTTAGTTACAATCCAAATCTGACCATGAAAAACACATTGTAGGGGCCAAGGATGTAGCTCAGCAGCACAGCACCTGCCTGGCAAGTGTGAGATTGTGAGTTCAATTCCTGGTACCAAAAAGAAGAAAGAAAAAAAAAAAAAAAAAGATTCTGAAACATCACATAATACTGAGAGGTTCAAAAGGAACACACAGCATCTGTGGTAAATTGTTCCTGAGCCACTAGCACCCCCAGAAGAGCCAAACCCACAGCCCATTACATAAAATAGTGGAATATATATAAATAGCTGAGGCATATCATCATTTCAGGGGTACTTACAACAAATAATATAAATGCTACATAGTAATTACAAGAAAAAAAGAGAAAGACTATATATTTAAGACACAACCATCCTGGTGTAACTAACTATATTTTTCATCACCAGCTGTGATGGCAGATATGGACCCAGAGATACAGTGGGCAATTCTACTACCTTGTAAGTATCAGATAGTTACAAAATGACTCCCAAATTAGCTCCATCTGTATTACTGAGCACAGTAAAAGGGGGTTCTCCCATTCTAACCAGCCCTTCATCATTTCTTTGCCGCACCCAACTAGGAAACTTTATTTTCAATTATGTATTTATATGTATGTGTGTGTCTTTATTTCTTATGTAAAACATGAAGTTTTACCTATGTGAATTACAGTTCTTTAAAAGTGTGAAAGCCACCATTCTGAACACAAGCTTAGTAATCAGCCATGTACTGCACCTAGAAAGAGGACTGACATTCATCTGAGCTAATCCAGAAATAAAGGCTTTAAAATACTCTTGTGGTTAAAAAAAATTAAAATAAGCATATCTGTATGAGCTATGAAAACGTAAGCTCGCAATAAAATTAGAATTAGGAAGGAAAAATCAAGGAATGGCGGAAGGATAGCCACGAAGCAACATTTTAAAAAAACAGGAACATTGTTGCACTTGAGCTGAGAGATAGCCAAATCTCTGTTTGGTACAACGAAGTACATAATATTAAACAACAGCCAGCTACTCTAAGTAAGAGTCATATTGTTAAGACCAGCAACTATGAGGTAAAACCTTAGGCAGAGAAGGAGCTAATTGGCCATATGCATGATAATACCTTTCACCCACTCACTTTTCACCTCATAACTTAGAGGAAATCAAGGAAAACTTGATTTTGACTGGTTAATTAAACATCAACTCCCATCATGAAAACAGAGTCAGAATCGTTACATAATAACAAGAAGTCTAAAAGGTATACGCAGTCATTCTTCCACCTGTGGGAAATTTGTTCCAGGGACCTCTATTTTCCCTACCAGGAGTCTAGAATCCTCATATGCTCTGTTCTATGAACTAGCAGAGTATTTACATATAACTGATTCATATCATTTCTAAGATATGTACAATGTCCTCCATCTAACGTAAATGTTATCCTAAAAATAAGTTGTTGGGGCCGGGGATTTAGCTCAACAGCATAAGCCCCTGCCTGGCAAGCATGAGGTTGTGAGTTTGATCCTCAGTACCAAAAAAAGTTAAATACAATTAAAAAAAGATAATAGTTGTTACCCTGTATCACTTAAGAAAAAAATGATAAGAAGAAAAGACTCTACCTGTGGATTAGAGACCCAAACATTCTGAACCCCAGAAGATTAGAAAAGCCAGAAAAAAAACAAGGAAAAAAAATCCTCAGGGAATAAAAGAGATAATATGCCCTAGTATATCATTAATATCTTTCACTTACTTTTCACCTTGTAGCCCAGAGTCACTCAAACAAAAACCAATGATATAAGGGAGATACATGTCGTGTGTACAATAATTACCTTTCCCCTAGTGACTTTGTACCTGTTAAAGAAGATATCAAAAAAACCTGTTGCTTTTGACTGGTTAATTAGAAACTATAATTGAACATAAAATACATTTTGGACCACTGTGTAACCTTGAGAATTGTGAAAGGCATATGCAGTCATCCTTCAGTTTCTGTTGGAAATTGCTCCTGCGATGATACCAAAAGCCCTAGTCCATTACAGAGAGTACTGGAGTATTTACATATAACCTATGAACATCATCATCTCTAGACCACCGGCAATACTCAATAAAACAAAAATGCTAAAAAAAATAGTTATTATATTGTTTAGGGCATAATGACAAGAAAGTAAGACTCTTATGTGTTCTTTAGAGACCCAAGCATTCTGGACTTAACTATGTTTTCTATTCATAGTTGGTCAAATAGAAACTGGGGATACAGAGGTAACTGTGTGGTCTCTGGACAAAGAATGGCTACAAAATTAGCTCCAGGAACCAGTGAGAAGAGACTGGCTTTTCCCATTCCAACTCACCCTTCTTGTTTTATTTACATTTGTGTTATTTACATTTGTGTCAATTTTGAAAAATTCAAAAGAGGCCAAAAAAGAAAATGAAAAACGAGTAAGACTGTAATAGATACAGCTTTACTGGATCCAGAAGACTGGGAGGACCACAGACTCTCAGCAGGGCAATGGTTGAGTGGGCCAAGAAAGCCTTTCTCCTTGACGCTGTCCTTTGTGGAGAGTGGACTTTGGAGAAAGTGGTATTTCTTGCGTGCTGACCACAGCTGCTCAGCTTCTTCATATGACGCTAACGTGGGTCCTGAGCACCGGGCCCCCTGGGGAGGAGCTGGCCAGGGGCCTTCTGATCACAGCAGTGAGGACATCTATGTGGTGAGGGCCACTTTCCCTCCATCTGATGAATTCCCGCCACTTTGTGAGGTAGGCAGACTGCTTAGAGTGTGGCAGAAGAGCACGTCACCTGCCAGAAGTGTTTAAAATCATTCTGAGAAAATACTGCTAGTTTGGCTGTTGGCCTTGGAGCATTTTTCCCCTAAGTCCTTGTGAGCCTGGTTCTCATTCATAGCAGAGGGTACAGCAGATTGCTAATACTTAGTGATTCTAACCCAGGCACAGACAGCCCAGCACCAATACAGAATCATGCTTGTTTCTCTTTTTTCAAAACCCACATGATAATAATGAGCCGGGATATAGTTGAGAGGGGGAATGCTTGCCTTACATGTATATTAGTCTCACACCCCAGCATAGCTCCATCTCACCCCACAAAAACACCCCAATGTACAAGACATGTTACATTTTTCTCTTGGAGTGGCAAATCCTGTGTGATTTTATCTCTGTAGTTTTTGTATTAGAAATGCACTGATTTATATATATTACATATAATGAAATTATATATAAAAAATTTGATAAAGAGATAAAAGTCAATTGAAAAGGGTCTGGGGATTTAGCTCAATGGCATAAGCACCTGCCTGGCAAGCGAGAGGTGAGTTGATCCCTGGCGCAAATAAAAAAGTCAATTAAAATTAGCAAGTCTCCCTCCTTCTTTCAGCTTCTTTTCATGGAAGCAGCAATGTGATAAAAATTTTGACTAAAATTTTTTTTTAATCTATGCTACATAAATTCTCTGTAAATTATTGTTTCCATTAATCTGACTCTCTGTGAATGGGTAACTCTTTCCCAGGCTGCTACAGAAATATATTCAGACA